CTTGCGACTTCGCTCATCACGACGTGCCGTTCACCAGCACCGTTTTATCAAACGAAATAAAAAAATCACTCCTACCTCATCGCCGAAATGTTACTGTCTTAAATACATTCAGGTGTTTCTTCAGGCACTGAGCAGCATCCTATCCCACCTATCGTGTAATTTGCCAAGCAGCTACAGAGTGCCGCTTACACACTGGGAGTCGAGTTTGCAGGAAATATTGTCAACGAAATTACCCCGTAAATACTGTTTTCTGTTACTAGTTCGGTAACATTTGCTTCACTAGTATTACTCTTTGGGTTTCGAAATCGATGTTTCCTGGTGTCCAAGCATATTGATATATTAGGTATCGAAATACTCTGCACAAAGGATTGCGTCATAGAAGTGGCACATGAGAGAGGGCGAGGCCTATGCGCTACCCACCTCAAATACTGAGTCATGTCTCTTGTCCTGCGCTCGCTGCTCAGCGAATTTGAGACCCTCGAATTCCGGAACAGTGCCCCGGCCAGGCCGCCCGTCGCCTATCCACCCGTTTTGACTCAGGCGGTGGTGCTTCCCCTGCCTTAATTTAAGGTCCCTCTCCAGGATCCCGTAGCCTCGGTTTCCCACCAAGTTCTGCAACAGCGTGCAGACCTCGAGGGGCATGGGGCTGGACAGGGTCGCCTTACGCCGCATGGCGACTGCGTGGGCGTGCCCTGCGGGGAAGATGACTAATCGATCGATTGTTCATTGTGGTGAGCCTGGCGTTGATGCGAGCCGAGGATTGTCTGGAATGAGAGTTGCTTGAGTGAGACTGCTGATAGATGAGGGCAACGGCATGGAAAGGGGATGCTGCTATGGCAAGTGTGTGTGCACATTCGCGCCCACATTTCAAGGCAGGTCGTAAATGCTCTCATAGCCAGGCCTGTGTAGTGTGTGTCATACAGCAATTCTGGATTTGAATCCTTGCTGAAAGTCACGGCTAGGACGCCGGAAGCCCACATTTGTGCGCTTGGTTGCGCGATTTCTCAGGTGGACCAATACAACCGCGTTAAAATAGCTAACAGCAGTTTTCCATCTCGCCGCCCTTAGGATTCTCGAAACGACCCCAATATCGCGTGCACCTCGCCCTCGCATTGGACCACCATATCGTTGAGCAAGCGGCGGCCCCTCCATCCACCTCATTGTACTCGGCTGGCACTTCCTGATTCCTCATTGCGCTATTGGCAGACGAGTAAAACCAGGACAAAGCACGCGGTTTTCAAAATTGTGTGACGGGTGACACGATTGAAAATCGTGTTAAATCGCGTATTTATCATATAAAAATAGGACCAAACAGAGTAGTAACGACTGAGTGAATGTACGCGATTTTCACACGTTTGACGCGGTTTTGCACGATTGTCCGCGGCTCGAAAGCATTTTTGCCGATGCTTTACTTGCGGCATTGAGAGAATGTAGGGAATTTCCTTCGAAGCCTTTGCTTGATCGGTCGGCGCACGAGAGAACGTGGGAGAAGAAAATTTGGCCTCTCTCGTTTCAGTATGCATGGAAGCAGATGAGCACCAGGACGAATTCTTTACTTTGGACTTGCATTCAAAACCAGAGGCGTACATCTTTCATCTCCCTCATGAACATGTCATTTTATATTCGGGTGTAGACATATGTATTTCAGTAATTCTCTGACGCGCTTGAGCATTGCTTTGTTTAGGAATCACATTTCTACCCGGACTTGCGCACCACCGCAAAACTGCCTGGGCGCCAGCAGCAAGCCCGCTCTCAAGGTCACCACGGCAATGAGTGCAGTACCCGCCTGGCGGCTCCTTGTACAAACCCGCTCCTCTCCATCTCTGGCTGAACAACTGGGGAGGGAAGCTGAGCCCGGCGATGGCTTCCCTGCTGAAATTCATCTGCGGACCGCTCTGCCAGTGGCTTGTGGCCATGGATCCTGCGGATAAAACACTAGTAACAAATAGGCCAAAATCCACAGTATTGAAAATCGCGTACCGTGTAACAGGATCGAAAATTGTATAAAACCCGTGTTAGATCGTGTGTCCATCGTGTGTTTATCGCAACAAAATGGGACGAACCGTGTGGTAACGATTGAGTGAGTGTACATGATTTTTACATGTTTGGCACGGTTTTGCACGATTTTTGCACCGTTCGAAACCGTGTATTTTGGCCGATTTTTTTACTTGTGACATCACGCAATTACAAGCCGGTAAATTTGAATTGCAGTGTGCATGTGGCACTTGCCATGGACCTTTTTGAGCACACGTGCATATGCCATATTGGCTGTCTCACCCGTACACCAATACGCGACTCCTGTTCTGCTTCTAGCCAATGAGCAGCCTTGAAGTCTCGCAAGCAAGCGCAAATGGGCGCCATGCATGAAAGCTGTGAGCGGTGCCGCGTCGCCGTCTATGCCGCTGTTGAGTGGTTCAGTTTTTGACCTTCGCAGCGCTGCACGCTGACCGCATCCCTCACCTGCCCCTGGGCGCACCGCTACTGGCTGCTCGATTCCAGCCGCCGTATCCAGCTGCAGCAGAGAAATAAAGACAAAATTCATGCGTTCCCCGGGGCCATCGACGCAGCTGCCTCCTTTCAGGCATTTGAAAAAAGTCTTACTGAACCGTTGACTAGCCGGATCGCGGAACTCACTGCGGCACACGATGGAATCTCCGGATATTTCGAAGCACCGACAGCGAGGCTTCGCATCGACGCCACACGAATCTGCGGCTCGCACACAGCTATGTCTGCCGGCCGCTCACCTAATTATGGCAGGCGATGTCCGACGCCTGTACCGATAGTCAAACCTGGTGCCAGGTTGACTAACTGTTGACCTGCCGTTGACCAGCCTTTGACAGGTCGGTTGCCGCTGCGCTTCGCGCTGCGAGATCGCCCAGGCGAGGTCTCTCACGGCGATACCAGTCTCTTCTTGACGGAGTCATTGAGGTTAGTGCGGGCGCGCAGTGCCTCGGCCTAATCCATACTGTCTGAACTTGTGTCGTGAATGTCGAGGCACCGTCAGGTCTGCCCATTGTGACCCTTTGACTTTGCTCAGGCTAAAAAGGAAGCTGACGGCTACTTCATGGCCATGTTACGTAAAGTTAATGATGATGATGGCGAATTCCTTAATTACATAGCGTTCACTAAACCCGACTCCGCTCCCAGCAGCATAAACATGATGTCAACAGCCTGCGCCACTTTGATGATGATGACGTTGGAGGGACGATGTGTCGGTAAAACAAGTGCTCAACACATTAGCAAAGCTCTGTTCGGCATTGCCTCATGTCGACAGATCCATATCCACTAGCAGTGGAAGCCAGAAATCTGACGGCAGGGAACGGCATTTTGCGATGCTCACTCCAATGCCACTGCGACACCAAGTGATACCATCACGATGATTGCAATGACCTCAACTACCTGGGATGGCATCAGTTCGTGTCAAAATGGCATCGCAGTCGGCAGCGCAATAATGCCGTTTTCCCTTTGTGCCTTCGGTCATCGCTGGAGTAATCTTGAGTCCTCACGAAAAACTAAAAAGCATTTCCGCAAGAGAACATAAATATCAAAGCATCTGATGTAAACTGCACAATATGCTCGAGTATATTGAAGTCAATAAAAAGAACACAATGGCAGGCATGCACGAAGATGCCAACCCCTTCGCGCTCATTTCATTTCGGCCTTCGAAGTGTCAATTTTAGCTGGGAAAGGCGACAACTTGGATTCAAAACAACTCGGATGCCATGCGGCAGCTGCCCGTTGGTGGAATGGATGCGCAATACTAGAGTTTGGAAGAGTGAAGGAGTAATCCGTTTGATGTGCACCGTCAAATGCAGTCGCCGTGGTTGTCAGAGACACGTGTCTGATAACCGTGCAGAGAAAACAATCACATCGCTTCGAAGCGAAGGAAACAATGTCTTCTGGCATCCAGACAGGAAGGCAGGGCAGATGTCAAAGGGTGTCCCGCAGCCCACTGCGGAATCCAGAATCCGGATATTTATACAAGAAGCCGTATAGAAGTACAAGACTTTGGAGAAACATCTAATCACCAGTGGAGCCAAAACACTGTCTGTAAATTCGTCGGACGAAAGCGAGGTGAGGGACGCCCACCGTGGTGTAAAATCCATGCCGCTCATTCAATCCACCGCCACGAACCATGTCAAGGGAGGCTGGGGAAAACTGAGAAGCCACCACTGACCGGAGCTGAAGCTACGAGATCTCGGATGCGCAAAATACCTTGCGCGGGATTGCGTGATCCTTGGAACCATAACGCGCGCATCACGTACAGACGGCAGTGCGCTGACACCTCAGTTGCTGGGATCGCCCAACTACGCCACATATGATGCAACCGTGCGGCCGCATAACGCGCTCGCCGGCAAAAAACGCAACCAGCCGAACCGTGGGCCGCCGAGGCCCGCTGACTCGGCCAGGCACCCCGTGCATTACGCACAACTGCCCGGCCTTAACCTCACACTGTCCAAAAGGCGCCCAGAGGCTTGTGCACGCACCCCATGGCCTCCGCGAGCGCCGGCGACGGCCGCCCTCTGCCTCGAGCCCCCGCGTTGTAAGCGCCGTCAGGAGAGGCGATCTCGCGACTCAGCCCCAGGTAGGTTGGCGTCTTGATGCGCAGATGGAGGGTCCCGTTTTCGGGTTCGTTTTCCATGCTCCAAAGGGGCGGGGCGGCGTCCACCGTCCACTTGGCGCCAAGTCGACACGCGACGGTTCCGAATGGCGTGGCGATGGCAGCAGTACGTCCGTTTCTGGCGTCCGAGCGACTTGCCGTGGCATCGCGGGCCCTTCGCCGTTCGCGCTGTGGGTGTGTCAGCATTCGAACCCCCGCTCCTTGGCGCGTTTGCGGCATGCAGGTGGGCATCGTCGCCCCAAAGTGAGATTCAGGGCCCTCTCGATAGGCTCCAGCAGTTCATCAAAGTCAGGAACCGAAATCACGGCAGCTAGAGAGGCGTGTTGCTACAGCGGCCGCCGCAGCCGCTGCATGGTCGAGGCGGGGCCCTAAAGTCGGCATGGAAGGCCCGAATGTGGTGGCGGAAGAGGGGGGTGGGGGGCAGGCGGGGAATGAAATCCCCAGGGACTCCAATAACCGAACGGCTACCGGTCCAGCCCCCCAGGACAGCTTGGATTCAGGAACAACTGCATCTGGGTCTTCTGGCAGGGAGGCTGGAGCGGCCTATGGCAGGCGATACGGTTGTGGCCGCGCGGAAAGGGATGACAAGATTCGCGTGGAAGTGGACGTTGCGGAGGAGAAGGAGGGGAGATTGAACAGGTTTTGCTTGCCCTTTCACCTTGGAGGGTCCATCAACTCTGATTTGCCCGGCAGCAGCTCCAAGGACGTGAACAAGCCCGTGGAGCTGGTGTCCAGGGTGGCCCACGCCAAAATAACCAGGTGGAAGGCGTTCAACCTGGCGTGGCTGCTCATAGTGACGATCCTCATTCCCACCGCAGTCGTCCTTGTGTGGTTCGTGGCTATCCCCATCCAGGGGCAGAATCTGAAATGCACCATGTTCACACCCGCGGATGTGGGCGCCAGGAGGTTCAATGAATTAGCAGGGGATGGCTGTTCAAGGGAGTTCGTCAGGGTGTGCGAAGAAGGAGATTTTGGGGACAAGGCGTGGTGGGCCTTTGTCGTGAACCCAGGCACTTACGTCTTTTTCCAGTACATGCTCATCAGCATCTTCCTAGCGTGCCTCGATGAGAAGCGCCCCTGGCGGCCCTTCTTGAGTTATGCCCCAATCCTGCTGGTGGGCTACATGGCTCAGCTGGGCATCGTGGGTGCCGTCACCCTGGCGCACCGCACCTTTGAGGGGCTGGGCGTGGTGTCCATCTCAATCTCTGTGCTCGTCACTCTGGCTGGCCTGAAGATACTGCGCAACTCATTCGACTGCAACATGGAACACTACATGTTGATCTACAGGCAGTTTGTGCGCATCATGGCCACTTTTGTTGTGTTCATGCTCATCCTGTGGGCATACATAATCGCCAACACCAACACAGATGGATCGGGTCAGGGCTTCTACACAGTTGCCCTGGCCATCATCACCTTCATATTTAAGAAAGTTTTCTTGGCCATGACGGACCCCTACCCGATCGAGATAGCCATGGTGATCTCCGGCCTGTGGTTGGAAAATCTGGTGGACGTGTTCATCACACTGGCATATCCCACAGCCAGGGGCTCTGTGGTGACCTTGGTGATTATCTGGCTGTCTCGGATCGCAGAAGACGTTGCCTACTTGGGTTTCCAGCTGGATATATGGTTCAAGTTTAGGGTGTGGATCAAGGGCAAGTTCAAAAAGGAGCAGCAGGGGGCTATTGAGGAGGACGTGGACAAGGACGACCGTGGCCACTCCAACATTCACCCTGGCTATCGCCGGCGCCAGATGCGCTTCCTCATTTGGAAACTGATCTCCCAGCTGAGCTCTAACATAACTTTTGTGATCCTCATGCCTGCCCTGCGTTTCGGCCAGAACAAGGAGTTCTACCCATACTCAGAGAATGAATTCACAGTGCGCTTTCAGGATGTACGGCATGATGAGGCGTACGACTGCTTCACAGAAGAGTGAGACGGCATTTTGATTTGTTGTTCAAGTCCTTGGTATTGCATTCATGAGAGTTACTCCATGAGTCTGTTGGAAGTCGGGATAAATATGCTTTGTGGTACTAATACCCTATTGTTGTGCTCTGTTTGAGTTGAATATGCAGCGAGTCATATAATGTTCAATCATACGTAATGTTGCGGTGCTACGTCCTAGCAGTCCACAAATGAGCTGAAGTATGTGCCCCTGTAAGGTTTCAGCACAACATATAAGTTGGGCAGTGCACAACCTCAGACTGGAAGCCATATCCAATGCCATGGCCTGCTGCCATCTGTCTTGCTTCAATCAGGTATCAATGAACAAACAGTACCAATGAGTAGTGGTTAGCAAACACAGTAATGCTCCTTGTCCTCTCAATGGTTGCTGACAGGCAAATGTGTATCTGTGGATGAACAGGGACTTCAAAGGAACAGTGTGGTTCGCGATGCTTGCGATGTTGACATTCTTCATATCAGGCTCGGCCATCCTGGTGTTCATGAATCGGTACCACAAGGCTGTCCTGCAGGACCTTGTTGATCGGTACAACCTGCTGATTGTGCAGGACACCTACTTTGGGTTTGTGGTCTCAGTCCTGATCAGCAACGTAGTACTGGCAGTATCATCGGTGCAATACTACAACAGGGTTTACTACTTCTAGCTCGGGCAGTGGTGTGTGTCATGGCAACGCACTGCATGTGGCATGGCTGCGAATGTCCTTTGGGGCGATTCTCTGTGTGTTGCTTGAGACGGCTCTTGACTCTGGGAAAATAGCTGCTTTGGGCATCATTGCTACCTTTGGTTGTTCCTTGAATGGTGTGTGTCTGACACTCTACTTGGTGCGATTTGACACTGTGACCTTCCTATGTTTCATTCTCGGCACAGTCCAGCAACACGAGCCCTGTACTATAGGCAGATGGGAGCCATGTGAGCCTCACACATGTTACTTGGCTGGTGCCTTGGCATGCCTTCTAACCAAGTTGCGTATTTGTAGTTGGAGGATATCCCTTGCTGAACGCTTTATGCCATCAGCAAACTGAGAATGTGAAGTGCCATGAAGCAGGGTTGTGGGCCTCTGGAACTGTTGGCAGCACAACTACCATGTCTAAGTGTGCATGGGAGTGGAAGTGGGAGTGGAGTGGGAGCGGAAGTGGGAGTGGAAGTGGGAGTGGAAGTGGCAGTGGGGATGGAAGTGGGCTTTGGCATTGTGTTGAGTGGGGTTGAGGGTGTGTTGGATGCCCTGCCCTATCCATGTGGCCAGGTTGGTGTTGAAAGGCACCCTGGGAGCTCTGGTGCTGCTTTGTGCAGGAGGAGTCCTGTGCACACCAAAATCTTTGTCGTTGACTCTGAAGACAGGTCAGTTTTGCCAGCCTGGCGTGTGGCAAAGGGCAAGGGTCACCCTGGGTCTGGAGAGGGCGCGGCTCTCCATTTGATTGCCTTCGCGCTGACAAGGCGAAATGCTGCAATTCGCTGTGGAGGCGATGAGGGAAGGGACGAAGTTACTGTGATCACTTCAGACAATGGTGCTTGTGTCATTGTGCACTCTCGTTTTTTGTCACCACCTGCGATTCAATGGTAGTTGCATGGTTGTGCTGGTCACTCGTGGGCATGTGCTACAAGCCCACAGTGGGAGCAGCGCTCTCTTCTGCCGCAGTTTTGAGCGATTTCATTCTGGTGCATGGCACCAGGTGAGTGGAGTGGGTGGAATGATGGTGTCAGGATCTGACGCCAAGGACTGCAAACGATGAATGAATAACTCATGATGAGTGTGCAGTGATGGCAAACAGAGGCACGCTGTTGGGGCACGCTCGTCAAAGGCACTCAGTGCCTTGCCATGTATTTTGTACAATCTGTTCTGTTGCAGAATGAATGATTCACATTGTGTTGGCCCCCAGCAGTGGGATGTGGGCAGAACCCTGATGGCGGGGCGCACTTTGCGGGAGCATTTGATGCGCCGATGTGCAGACATGCAGGTTCAACACTCTGGAACTGCGACAGGGTAAGGAACGCATGCACGGTATTGGAATCAAAGCAAGGGTGCATTGGCGGTAGTGGATCCAAAACAAGCACATAGATGGTTCCCCTATGGTCCCATTGACTGGAATCTACCCAGGTGCGACTCGGCGACTACTTTGGACGGATTACAGATGTCATCATCTTTCTCTCGTTCCACATTCGTGATGCCCCACTGATGTGCCAAGCGTTCGCTCTTGGTCCATTTATGTCTTCGACATTCATTCACTCGCATGCCATTGACCTTGTGTGTACACATTTCACGACATGTTCACAGCTTGTACCTGAGGCTGCCCTCCTGCATAGCATGGAATCTGCATGCCGATGTTTTACTCACAAATGGTGGTGCACAGCGAGCCCATTGATGATGACAAATTAGAACCATCGAGATACATGATTGTGAGACGTGGGCACTTTTTCTGCAGCAGAGCCAGTGATTTGCCCTGTTACGCCTGAGGGGCGATGCCTTGGGCTCCAAAGGGAAGTAACAATGTCACGAAAGTGGCTTTCGGCATCTGCAGTGCAATTTGGACGCCCTTGTGCAAATGTTCCTGCTGTCTGAAAGCAGCGACAGTCTATTGGGGCTGTCGAACCAAGCGCTGCTGCCACTGCAGACCAGTGTGAGATGAAGTGCCGACAATTTCAAGAGAAAGCCAGCACAGCCCAACTGTTTTATCCCACAAGCGATTTTTGATGATGGCCTGGCTTCCAAAACTCTGAGGTCCACCTACATTGGGGTGGCGGGGGAAAGCAAAACAGAAAGAACAATCGAAATTGACTTCCTAACGATCCCCAGGCCTCCTGCCTTGAATGCTTTTTCCCGCCTGTTTTTGTTGCTGAATGCAGAAATGCTCAGAGCCCATGACATTCTGGCATCTTTCCCCGCAGATCCTATTGAATTCTGAGATTATCCCCTGGAGCGCAAGTGCCATCCACAGAGCGGTTCACTTGATGTGGTTGAACTGCAGCGAACCATGCACTTCAACGCTCCAAGGATCTTGATCCGGTGGTGAAGCGGCGATGCTGCCTAGTCACAGTACCCTTACCTGGCCCCCACTTTGGACACCGAATTTGATCCGACAAAGACAGGAAGTGGGGATCCGCCACCATTCGACTGCTAGCTCCATCACTGGGTTTGCAGGCATTCAAGCCTGGACAGATCGAAGCCTGTAACCAAAACTCGTGACTGCGCTGGAATCATTGCAGTGCGGCGCATTATTCGTGAAATGCGTAACGCGTGACACACTTCCCTTCCACTTTGGACCTATGCACATTGTGCTCCTTGATGCTGGCAATAGAAGTTCATAGACTCCTAGACTTTGGATGTGTTATACATTGCGAACTAGATTTTATTGAGCTGATCATGGACACTGCTTTGCTCGGGCAAAATAGGAAGCTTGCGGCTACCTTACTGCCTTGTTATGTGAAAATCATGATGGTGATGATGATGACACGTGACATGACAAGTGTGTCGATTTTTCGCGTTGCCTGAAGGATATTCGTTCATTCATTCATTTTCCCCCAAGGCAGCCCGCTTTTCCCCCACCTGCTTCCCCTTGAATAGAGCGCCCTGCTCGCCGCCCCAGATTGAGCGAGCCGGCGCGCGTGCCGCGTGCAGCGAACAGGGCCTCTCCAAGGCGCAGGCGTCTCTGGTGCAGCGGCCGCTGCTGCTGTCGCGCGCAAGGCGCTGATCCCCCCAGGTGAGTCATCCATCGGCGCGGATGCGTCACAGTCGGGCCGACTTTCGGCCACCTGACCGCAAGAGGGGGACGAACAGGAGCCACCTTTCACCCTGCTCAGGAGTGACTTCGAGATTTTTCTTTGACATTTACTGTCGCGCGTCTGGCGAATTTCGAATATCGAGCGCGAGCTGAGGCGCGCGCCTCGCGATGCCGCTCAGCCGCCCGCGCAGGGCTGCCGCCGGGGGGCCGATGCCGACCGACGCGAAGGACAAGGAGCGGGAAAAGCGGAGGAAGGAGAAGGAGGGCAAAGACAAGAAGGATTCCAAGGAGAAGAGGGAGAAGAAGGATAAGTCCGGTGATAGAGAGAAGGCCAAGGACGGCAAGCACAGGCAGGCAACTGCATGGTTTCATGTGGTGGCGCGAAGTACCTTCATCGCCACGTTCGCGTCCTGCGATACCGCCGTGTATCTATTAAGCCTTGCTCACTGTTTTTGGCCCACCCAATGTGTACTTGTGCAGATTCTTTCATGGGATGTGCAACTCAAATTCTGTGATTGGGAGGGGAGCCGAATGCGGCAAATGTTCTGCTGGAATTAATGTTGGTCCCACACGGAAAGGAGGCTCAAATGCTTTCATGGGAGGGGAAATGTGCTCTTCGTGGGGCTTGTCACTCTTGATGCTCCAATTGACAGCCTGAGATACTGCGTGGACTTCAGATCAGCTGTGGAGACGACATTCAGGTGTTGTGCTGGGAGAAGTGTAGCCCTTTGCACGCGTTGTGTCTATTCATGACGACCATTTCTGACCACAGGTCCTCCAAAGATGGGCCCCAAAAGGACAAATCGAAGGACAGGCGGTCTAAGGACGGTGGGGGGTCGGAGGGTGCAGCATCCTCATCAGCCTCGTCTCGGCCCCAGGGGCCCAGGCAGCCGATGCGGAACTTGAAAGCAAAGAAAGAAGAGGGCTCCAACTACATGGCCGGAATGGATTTGCCGCCCTCTTCCAGTGAGGGCGAGTCGGAGGAAGAGGACGACTCACGGAAGGACAGGGATGTGGCCCTGAAGCAGGTGGGGGGCCAGTCCCTGCTGATCATATTAATGAAAGTGTGTTGACTCACCAGCTTTTAGCCCATTGGACAATTGGGTGTGCAGTTCACATTGTTCACAAATTGTGTGTTCCGAACATTCATTGAGTTGGGCACCTTTCCCTGCCAAACATTGCTGGTAGTAGCGCCAAAGGTGAATTCCAGGTTGTAGACATTGTTTCACAGCCCATGACATGCCACCCTGCTGATGGATCTCAGCTTAGCCAGGTTGTACTTGAGGATTGAACCTTTGGTAGCTCAGCCTCAAACTTCAATCAGTGGTCCCTTTGTTGTGCTGGAAAATCAGTATCAGGATCCTGAACCTCCGATTTGTGCCAGGCCACAGACAAAGAGCAGAAGAAAATTGCTGACAGGGAACGCAAGCAGCTGGAAAAGGCCCTGAGGATAAAGGAGGCAGCCCTAAGGGATGATGATAATGTGTTCGATGTGTCCTATGAGGGACAAGGGGAGGAGTCAACACTGAGTGCCACAGATGTGAAGGTAAGGCTCTGGTCCTGTTGCATGTGGGTGTCATTTGTCACAAGAGGCAAGGAAGCTCTGATGTTGATGATTTTGTGGCAGCAAGAGGTTTAGAAATGTAGCAATTGAAGGCTGGAGTATTGGCTGCCACATGGAATTGGCCGGGTAGTCACTTTCACATTCAAGGCCTTCATGATGGCAGTCCAAGAGGTTGATGGGAGAAGGACGTCAGCTGATAGCTGCAGTTTCTCAATAGTGACCGTTGTTTTGACGGACTGAGCATGGCCGCTGGACATTTAGCAGCAGCACCTGTTTGTTCTGTCAGGCAATCGTGATGAATGAAGTGAAGTTGGTTTGTCCAGACTTGTGAGTATGACCCTTCCCATCTATTTGTCCCAGGTGCACAAGTTGACTGTACGGGTGAAGGGCAAAGAGCTGCTTGTGGACACCATGGTGACCATCTCCGCTGGGCGGCGGTATGGCCTCGTGGGTCCCAATGGCAAAGGGAAGTCTACCCTGCTGCGGCTGTTGGCCAGACGCCAGATTCCTGTGCCAGAGAACATCGATGTGCTGCTTGTGGAACAGGAGGTTGTGGGGGACGAGAGGACGGCATTGCAGGCGGTGGTTGAGGCCGATGTTGAGCTCATGAGGCTTCGAGCGGAGGAGCAAGAACTGATGGCGACGTCTGGAGAGGTGAGAACAGGGCAAGTGTGGTTGTTGCTGTTTTTTTGATCAATCCAACATACAAAATCACATTTGTGAGATCAGTTTCCCAAACGTGAAACAAGTAAGGCGGCTGTTGCCACCCTGTATGAATGACAACTTTTTCTATATGACTTCAGAGGGAATGTTCCATGCTGCAAAGAGCCCATCCCTCAAGTATCAGTAGGAGTATCAGTAGGAATGTTCCATCTGTACCCTCTTGCCAGTCATTATCCACCATTGTTCACAACCTTGAATTGCATCCGCTGAATTTGGCCGATAGTGTGCATGAAGCCTGGAAATATCTCCAAATATTGCTATCACTGGCTTCCTGCAACCTCAGAAGAATTTGGGATGTCGTTGTGTCCAACCTAAGGCACGTAATCACAGGTGGTCCACACAACTCCTGCAACATGTCAGAGGAGAATTCCCCACTGGCCAGGCCAACAACCACGTGTTGAAAGAACTTCAGAAAATCCCTGTACATCACAACTGTTCAGTTGCCGGGAAACATGCAGAGTCATGCTGTCTGTGGCTCTACTTGTTGTACTGCACCAGTGGCAAAAGCCCTGCATGTGCTAGTGTCTGGACTACAGGCTTGAATTTGTGCTCGAAGGTGCATCAAGTATTGTCCTCTAGAGCAGCCCAACAACTTTGCAATACATGAACATTAGCTGAGACATAAGACCTTCACCCTTGGTTGCGAAATTGGACTGAGCGTCCCTCTGATTTTCTGAATCGTTGTTTTGTACTAGTTCTATGTTGCATTTTCAGATGTAGCATTGGTGGCAATCCTGAAGGCGGAGAAGGGCTCAATCAAGAGGGGATGAAGTGCCTGATTATCTGATCTGAAACTTCCTGTGGCATGCCTGTGTCTGTGGCAGCATAGGTATGCCTGCCTGCCTATGACTGTGCCACCAGTACTTAGTTTGCTGAATACACTTGCCTTCACAAGAGATTGCAGTAGCACCTTGCAGGCGATGATATGGGAGAACGCAACCAAAGTGTTTGTTTTGACACTTGTTCATTTTGCCACTTGCTGCCCATTTTCAGCACACTCTCACCAGCGCAAAAACCTGTCTCAATGCAAGCAATGGCGAATGTATCCAGAAGTAGAATCCCATCGCAGGGTGGCAACGCTGCAAAGAAGAACATTAAGTGCTGGAGGCTGCACTAATAGGAATTTTCCCTCACTTCCCAACCTCAGACAACCATCCCAGCCAACAGTTCAGCCCCATTGTCATCACATTGCTTTAACCACAGTTTCTCAACGTCAGGCCAACTTTTTGCAATCGCAGGCCACGGTTGGGGATGCTAGTGCTGCAGACTCTGAGCGGCTTGGGGAGATCTATGAGCAGTTGGAGGCCATTGGCGCAGCGTCCGCTGAGGCTCGCGCCTCCAAGATCCTTCACGGCCTGGGCTTCTCCAAGGCCATGCAGGGCCGCCCCACCAACTCCTTCAGTGGCGGTTGGCGCATGCGCATATCACTGGCAAGGGCCCTGTACATCCAGCCTACACTGCTGTTGCTGGACGAGCCCACCAACCACCTGGACCTGAGGGCAGTCCTGTGGCTGGAGGAGTATCTGCAGAGGTGGAAGAAGACGCTCATTGTGGTCAGCCACGACAGGGACTTCTTGAACAACGTGACGACCGACGTGATCCACCTGCATGACTTGGGCTTGCACTTCTACAGGTGATGTCCCGCCAGTTGCAGCACAGCCTTGTGTATGCACTCTTTGAATTGTTTGTCCAGAGGCCTCAAACTCCACTGTGAGTACCTTGTTAAAACGTTGTGGAGGACTGATCTTTTGTCCAAGTGGTGGTGTTGAGCGCCTGCTGGGGTGTGGCAGTTTGAACCACGGAAGTGGTTTGCAGCTTGGCTGGGCGACTGTGAAATTCCTTGGTCACCATGTTTGTTTTGTCGTGGGCCTCCTGGTGTGGCACATTGCTGGAGCGTGCCTTGTCATCTTTGAGCAGACAAAAAGATGCCGATGGTTGTATATCATGGCTGTGTCTCGATTCATCACACTCATGTGCAGTAGGCTGTGCCCTTACTTGGTGCAGCTGGTTGTCTTTTGGCCCATTTGTAGCTTAGGTTTAGTCTTCACAGTAGATCGTTGGAGTCCCCGTGTGGCTACAGAGATGCATATCATGGGAGTCTGGTGGAATAGATCAGTCAAATTCCGCTGGGGGAGTTTGGTTGTGGAATGTGGACACAAATTTTGCAAGATCAAACAACGACTCGAATTGGACTGCCTTGAACACATTGCATGTGTTTCAGTACTGTTTCCAAAGTTCATGGCTGCTCTTTGTTGGAAGATGGCTTCAGGGCGGTATTCCCCTTTATGCAGTTTTTTGTTGTTTGTTTCCTTGGTGAATGACGTGTCAATGCCAGCATAGGTGTGACTAGTGTGATCATGTTCTGCGGTGTTCCCTGGTCCTGGAGTGTTGAGATGACATGGCCTGGATTGTGCCAGTTTCGTACAACGTATTGCATCTCAGGAGGGACAATGATGCATACCCGCCTTTGAATTTTGAAATTTTTCTTGTGGTGCATCGTCTAGAGGCAACTTCGTGCTGTTCGAGAGCAGCTATGAGGCAAAGCGCCGCGAGGTCAACAAGTCATATGAGAAATACGAGAAACAGATGAAGGCCGCAAAGTCCAGCGGCAACAAGGCCAACCAAAAGAAAGTGGAGGCGCAGCAGAAGTACAAAGCATCAAAAAAGAGTGGCAAGGTCAAGGACAAGGGGTTCGCCATGGGGGAGGATGCCCCACCTCCTGAGCCAGTGGCCCCAAGGAAGTGGTATGACTACACTGTGTCCTTCGAGTTCCCTGAACCCACAGATCTGGCGCCGCCACTGATGCAGCTGATCGATGCCGATTTCAAATACCCAGGGAGGGATGACTTTGGACTGCACAATGTGAACATCGGCATCGACATGGGCTCCAGGTGTGGTAGCAGTCAGTCGGTTGCTTGCTTTCACTTTCATGTTGCTTTGCACCAAAGGCGCCATCACGTCTGATTACATCAGCCTCTACAGGAATGACCAAGCACAGGAACAGGTTTTGTTGCAGCGGAATGCCTTACATAAAGTGGGTTGCACTGGCAAAGCTCTGGTTATGACACAGCAAAACTCAGCATTTCAGGCAGTTGGACACGTGAGGATCGTAGTCTGTTGGAAATCGGGCAAGACCAGTGATCTAGCTTCCTGTTTCGAGTTGGAGATGCTAGGCTTCGTTTGCTGACTTGTATCGATTGATCTGCTGCAGGGTAGCCATCGTGGGACCCAATGGTGCAGGCAAATCTACTCTGATGAATTTGCTTGCAGGTGACATTGATCCCATTTCCGGCGAACAACGACGGAATAGAAAGCTTCGTGTTGGTCGCTATGCACAGCATTTTGTCGATCTACTGGTGATGGAAGAGACACCTGTGGAATACTTACTATCCAGGTGTGATCACCCTGCCAAGGATATTTGGCTTTGTAGGTGAACTGCACTGCAAATGTTTATCTTTGTACATTCACTTTTGTGCTTGTCTGTTCAATCTAGGAGCCCACTCTGTTGCCTTTATACTTGTGGTCTTGGGCAAATTTGCTACTTCTGTCTCCAAAACCGTGTCTGAACTCCAACTTTGCACGATCAACTTAATCGGTCAATCCATAACTACATTCGGATTCCTGGGTTGATTTTAGGTTGATGTGGATCTTGATAGCATTAGTTATCACCATACAACATGACAATCACAGCCTCATCAAATGTGCAATTCCCCGCAGTGTTGAATTGACCTCAATCTGGTATGTCCCCATTTCTCCAAAATTCATCAAGAACCTTGTTGTAGACAACAAATAGGTACTACGACATCCTTTCAAGAGTATCGTCATCATTGCTATCATGCACCTTTGGGATCGTCTCTTCCAGTATGATGAACCTTTTTTGGCATGTTCTGGCTTTCAACCACTTGCCGTGTTTGCCTGAATCTTGGGCTTTTTCTTGGTTGATGTGAATATGTACGTCCTTCCAATCCTTGGCAAATCTGCAAGATAGATGCTTTTGCACTGATCAAGGTGTCTCTTGGCCTTTGACCACATCTTGCACATGGTTCCTGTTAACACCCCAAATTTTGCTGATGACTCTGATCCTTTTCCTTGCAAAGTGTGTTTGGGATCGTGCCGCCTCTTCAATGCATAGCAAACCACCAAAAGTGTACACCTCTCCTAGTGACAACTGAGCTCGATCCACAACTTTGAAATGGAAAAAAGACAAGCATACTGCACCCCGCCCAATGCCCCAAAAAATGCAAAAGTCGTCTTTGAGCTCCTCCTGACATGTCACAAGAACAGCGGTGCCAATTAGAACGTTTGAGGTCTGTATGAATGGCTCTTGATATTGCGCTTCAAAGTTGCTTGAGTTAATTTTTCTGATCTACTTCGAAGTACACGTTTTGACCTCCGGTTGTGCAAGTTGGAGATCGGACATGGCTTCTGAGACAGAAGTAGTATTTGTGAGTGTGGAGTTGCAACACACAATTGCAGGTGATGCAACCACTGTAGCAAGGTCCCTAGCCAACATTCCATGACCTGCTTAATACCATTCAAGTGCTTGAATCTGAATTATGAAGGTGGCATTCCTGCCTGAATTGTGCTCAGCGTTCACTCTGTGATGCAAGCCTTTTTTCTTTACACACACCACAAACCCCACCCCTTTTGTGCCTCGCAGGTTCCCCCAGTCAGGACTCAAGGCTGAGCAGATGCGCGCCAGGCTCGGGCGATTTGGCCTGTCAGGTCACCACCACCTGCAGCCCATTTGCAAGCTGTCTGGTGGCCAAAAGGCACGCGTGGTGTTCACATCCATCTCCCTTCAAGACCCCCACATCTTGTTGTTCGACGAGCCCACCAACCATCTGGACATGCAGAGCATAGATGCCCTGTCGGATGCTGTGAGCGCCTTCCAGGGTGGGGTGGTGGTCATCAGTCACGATGCACAGCTGCTGAACACGATCTGCGAAGATGAGGAACGCAGCGAGGTGAGGATGGCTGTTATTACCTTGGATTGTACAACTTCGAAGTATGCTAAAGAAAGCAGGCGCCATCCCTATTCTGGCAGAAGATGTACAGGCCGTTTTTCACATCATGCAAGGCAATCTAGGGTTCCAGAAAGGGCTGACCACAAAGGGAAGAGGCAAAAAGTCCAGTGCAAATGCTCAGTGCTTCAGGGATGCCATGCTGCGTATATGGGTGTCGTTGCTTTGGTGAGGTCGCATCGATGTCTGAACCAGAGAGAGCGATGGTTCAATCCCTGGTAGATCTCAAAATAGTTCTGTTGTCCCTAATTCGTCTCCTGAATGCGCAATGTTGCTGACACACAGGCACTAGACCGACACTGAAATCAGTATCAATACAGGACAGGCCGTTGGGGTTTCAGGGTTGAGATATCGATGTGGCACCGGTCTCAGTACCAGTCTAGTGTCTGCGCATTGGGAGTCCCCTCCCCGAATGAGGATTAGTGTGGGCCATTCCTTGGTAACTTGAACTGGGAACGAATCACATGTCAGAGCATCTGCTCCTGGGAAGAATACACTGTGCCCTCACGGGATCGGCAGTGCCAGCATCCACGATGTTGAAGCTGAATTGGAGTGCACACAACCGCAACAAGCATGTGCAGAAGGGATGGCCCTGTGGTCGCAGAGAAATTGCGTCTGGATGTGGGTGGCACCCAAGGGGATAACTTGCAATGTTTTTGTTCCCGAATGTGCATGCGCTGCTGTGCAGCTGGCTTAGTCAGCCTCTCGACACCACTGTTGACGACTGGTGAGAAGAGTAACGACAATCCAAAATCCACATAGAAAAGGAAGCGAATGCCTCTGAGAGCATTCCTCCCATCTGCTGGTAATGCGCACCAACAGAAATTGATATATTCTTCACAGTTCTGATGCCAATTGTTCATTTGTTCTGCAAGGTGTGGGTGGTGGAAGATGGACAGATCAGAACTTACCCTGGAGACTTCAATGACTACAGGAATGCCCTCATCAGGGAAATTGCAGCAGAGCTAGATGAAGATTGAAGGGAGGAAAGTTGGAGGCTGTCAGCAGGAGGACTGGAATCTTTGTACTTTGACAGTGGGATCTGGATCTGGAATTACCTTGGTTTCATTCCTTTTGTTGCTGATGAATTGTAGCCACGCATCGTTGGGGCGAAGATGGAGAATGTGTGCATCTGTGACATGCACCACAGAAACTGCTCATAGTTTGTCTGATGTTCATCCCCATGGCCAACGCAAAAAGGCCCATGGTGTAGCCATCAACTCTGTCGTGCGATGCCGTCGATGGCGATATAGATTTGTATGCCTTGCTTGGCAGCATCCACGACCAGTCGTGCTGTACCATACGAAGGTCACGCGATGGTGCTTTTCGCCATGGCAATGGGTGAGTCTGGAGCGCTCCAGATTGTGTGAAGGTGTCAAGAGATAACCCCTGCAGTGTATGGCGAGGCCACATTGCAAATAGACAGCACAACGAAACCGCTTGTGACCTGTATCATGGATTTATAATAAATGAGTTCCAAACGCTGTCCAAAGACTTGGCACACCGTTTGGACACTGTCAAGACGCCGCCAAGGGTTAAAGCACGAACAGTTCCCGTGCAGGGCTGAAACAGTCCTATAATTGTAATGCACACAACGAATTGAGCCTCTTATTGAGATTCTCATTGGCTGAACATCGGTACAAACGTTGTGCTGTACACGCAATCTGCCACATTTGCAATTTTGTCGACTACAATGATTCGTTGTGCATACCTCATGTCCAGAGAGTTTGCACGGAGTGAGACCTGAATTGAACACACAATGTGGCATACGTGTCATATGTAATCGGAAGGTATGTGATATTCCTGTCATGAGTGTTATGAAATGCATGTATGCGTTAGATCCTTCGAGTGTGGATGTTGAGCTTTGCGGTAACTCCAACGTAGACGGTGCTTTGTGCGGTATTCACTGTTAATTGCCGGGGCTTGGTGGTCCACAGCAAGCGGAACCACATGAACTCGGGGTGCAAATACCCTTGCATTCCATGCCGCAGCTCAAAACTCAGGCTGAATTTCAACACGATTGGGCAGCGGATTGAATGACATCAAAGAGAAACAGGGCTTAGAACGATGCGTTACCGCCCACGCCATTTACCTGTCGTGGCCGCCCCATCTGCGCTCCGTTCCTCATTTGTCCCTCATTCGGGTCAAATGCGACGGTGGCACCGCACTGGCTTCGTCTTTGACCGGTGAGCCCGCTTCTGTGACGCCACAATGCGTCCGGACCGATAATTCCGGCGCGCCGCCCTCCCAAGGCGGCTCGGACCGATCCAAGGGTCGGCAGCATGTGCGGTCATGGCACGAGAGCCCAGTTGCCACTCTGTCAGCTCTTCCGGTGCACACTGCTCTTGGTCACGGTGGGTCAGTGAGAGCTCCACTTGCCTCCTCAGCCACGGTGCCATTCTGGCCTGTTCTGCGCGTGTCGGTGGCTTTGCAGCTTTCGGTCTCATGCCTTGGGTGTACGACGTTCAGGTTTGCGCTGAAGCCGCTGCGGCGGAAAATGGGAGCAGAGGTGAGGCATGCAAACGCGGACCGAGGCCGTTGACGCGACTGTTGGAGGCGGCGCTTTCGACTCATCAGGCTTGCACCGGCAAAAGCTCTTAAACACTGGCTCGACAACAATGTGTTCAGACTCGAGTAATATTTCGATCCACTGAGTGTCGTCGACACTCTCTTGGACTGCGCCCCTGCCCCTTCCTGAAAGTCCCTTTGTGGAGCTTGCGGCTGCCGTGTTGCATTGGGATCCGTTTCACAACAAATGCCGACGCTCCCCCTGTTGGCTCTCAACAGCGGGCGTAAACACACGTCTGTCATAAGTGCCGCTTGATTGAGCTTAAAACCTTTTCCCCGTGGTGATGCAGAGGAAGTCACGGCAGCCCCGCATCGGGAACAGAGTGTGTCTGGAGGCGTCAGTGGCGCCGCCCAAATTAAACTTGCGCCAGAAATTCCATCTGAGAGTTCAGGTCCGCGACCCATTGCTTCAAATCAACTAGCCGCCACGTTGATGGCAACTGCGAACGATCCCCCCCTGATGGAAATTTTTCTGCAGCAGGTGCATCCGAGCCTCGATATTGCAAGACCAATAGTCAAAAACCCTTCCATCTTGTTCACGGATTCGGCGTTTGGAGCATTGAAAACACGCGCTCCCATTTGCGGACGATTGCCCGATACCTGTCACGGCCCGATATGAATGTCATGAAGGGGCCATGAAGATGATGAAGTGTGCTAGGAGCTTAGTACCCTTAAGCCTAAGCACCATGGACCCAAAAGTGACCTTGATGACCTCGTGACCTCATGACCTTCATCACCTTTATGACTTCATTTACGGAAATGAAGGGTATCGGACATTTGTGAACCGCACTTGCCGCGGTGGTCATTATGCCAACCGCTTTGACGGCTTGGCGCCAGGACAGCCACCGAGATTGCGCAGTGCACCCAAAGCCAACCAACTCACTCTGGGAAAACTTTGTCGAAAGCCATGACATCATTGGCAGTTTGATTGATTTTTTCAAGCCCAAGCACCGGCACGGCGGCTGCAATCAAGACACCATTCATGACATTCTTGTTAGCTCTCTCGTGCCCGCACTCACCTTCGCAGGTGCAGGGGGCCCGCTTGGCATGATAACGACCATTTGTCATGATAATTATCAATAGACGCAGCCTAAAGAAAGGCGCCATCAGGGGCGGGGAAAGACATGCCACGTGGTGGCATGGCCATGCGCGATTTACATTTGGTCTGCACAGTGGCCTTGTATCATTGTTGTGTTGTGCAGGGCTGCGTGGGCGAAAGCTGCAGGCGGACGGCACCGATTCCTCATTTCCGGGGTATGGTCACCTCGGACTTCCAGGATATGGCGGCGGCGAATTTCCAGGGTATGGGGGCGGCGAATTTCCCGGATATGGCGACCAAGGGTTTCCAGGTTACACTGGAGCTGGATTTCCCGGGTATGGCCTTCTCGGTTTTCCAGGCTACAGTGACGCTGGGCTCCCAGGACATGGCGGCGCCGCGCTTCCTGGATATGGCACACTCCAAACAGGAGAGAACTGGTCCAGTCAAGCAGAGGGGAGCGGCCCAGCTGAAACAGCTGAGAATTGGTCGAGCCAAGGCGGGGGTCAGAGCGCGGGCCAAGAAGACGGCAGCGCAGCAACGCAAACGGGTGAGAATTGGCCGGGCCAAGGAGGGGACGACAGTGCAAGTCATACAGGCGATGACAGTGTAACGCAAACGGGGGAGAATTGGTTGAATCAAGGAGGAAGTGGCAGTGCAAGTCATACAGGCGATGACAGTGTAACGCAAACGGGGGAGAATTGGTCCAGCCGAGGTGGTGAGGGTGCAAACGAAGAAGAGGGTAGCGCCACAGCACAAACGGGGGAGAGCTGGCCGAATAAAGGCGGAGGGTTTGCAGGTGAAAACCGAGAAGAAGGCAGCGACGCAATGCAAGTGGCGGAAAATTGGTCGAGCCAAGCTGGGGCAGATGGCGAAATGCACCGAGATGGCCTCGCCTCAGTTGAAGAGGATGGCCGCATGTTGATCCAAGACAATGGTAATGCAGGATTTCAAGAGAACGGAGACATGCCGATTCAGGAGCACGGCGATGCTGAGCCTCGAGAAGACTATCGCGGCCTATTCGATGAAAGCGACTACACCCCAATATTTCGCTATGGAACTGGCAGCCTCCCTGATGATATCCGCTCTACCTCTTCAGAATACGAGAAAAACCAATATGGCGCACAGTTGGAGCATCCCCGTAGAACACCGAAGAAAGGTTGGATATTCCCAATGTTGGCTTGCATGTTGACTGCATTCATCTGTCATTCCATATGTTTGTCTTCCGCATATGTGTTTTTGTGTCCAGCTGTCTTCCAACAGTTTGCCTGTCTGCCTGTACAACGAAACAGCAGCAAATTGATATGCAGAGGCCTCGAAAATGAACTTCAAGGCCGTTTGCAATGCGCAAAACACGCTGCCTGTGCGCATGTCGATCAAATAATGTCTCCAAATTTGCGTCCCCAGTCACCTACAACTTGTCATAGAAACTCGGGCCTCTAGAGAACAGCCAAAATATATGGGCATCAGCACCAAACTCTCGAACAGAGCTGATGGGTGCTGGCGGAGTTGAAGATGGCATAACGAGAACTTATGAAGCGAACTATTAAACCGTTTGAGGCGATTTCCTTAATCTGAAGTACCTTCGTGCCCTCTCGCAACATGATTTGCCACCGCCAACCTCGCGAATTGATCCTAAATGTTTTCTGCTCCAATTTTTTCATTTTCGTGGCAACCATTGGCCTTTTGTACCTCTCCTGCAATCGCAATGGAATGTACGTTGATCAGCGAACTAATGATCACTGTTCCTTAGTTTCATTGGATTCCAGATGGCGTTCGGACACAAAATCGAACTTTTGTTCTACTGCCCAGCCACATGTAAAAATTCGACCATTTCACACGGTAAGCAATCGTGTGAAATCGTGTTAAAACCGTGTAGAAATCGGGTACTTCGGAGCACGATTTTACACGATTGTTAAAATCGTGTAGTTTTCAGCCCTGCGTAGTACACGAAAGTGGTCCACCTTACCACCATGTACAACGCGATAAATAACACGATTTTACACGATTTCAACCGTGTACCAGCGGCAGCCGTTTATTGTGTGATCAGTATACGATGGGTATACAATTCTTACACGAATTTTACACCACTTTTACCCGCATAACACGGTACACGGTTTTCAGGACCGTGTACTTGGGACAATTTTTTACCCGTGCAGCGTGCTTAACCCCAATTTTGGATTCAGCGCATTCCCGCAGGCATCCGAGAGCCCACGCGTCTGTATGCGTGTCACCACAATATTCCGTGCTTTTATTCCGTTCATTTTATTTACCTGGTTTGTTGTTAATGGCTTAATTTAATTGAACAGCTTGTCCATTTATTGATACCAGCTCTGCCTGCTCAGATTTCTGCAATGTCTGCTCACCGCTGGACAACGTGCTGCAACCCTCTCTCTGGCGATTACCCTCGAGGAAAGGTGGCGAGGATGGGGGAAGCATCACATACGAAGAAAAAGCACTGCGGCAGCAACGCTGGTGGGCAAAAAGTTCTCTACGCACCTCCGAAGACATCAAATTCAGCAAGGGAATGATGCTGGCAAAGGTGTTGCACATCAAGCAATCGTTGATGCTGAAAAAGGGGATATACGATTGACAGCATCGACGCCGCAATGGCTCCCATGCGTGACACCGTGTGTCATAGAAAGCTGATCAATAAGGGGAGCCACAAGACTGAGGAAATAATAAATACGTTAATGTACTGGTGAACTAAGCGGATGCATGTGATGCAGTGCTAATTTGATGAATCCACATTCTATCTCCAACTTAGTTGTGTACTGATCCACTGCGCTCTCTCGTGAGAAGAGATTTGCAGTGGCAGCAGTAATTAGACGCGTTCCTAGCGACCACAAGGAACTCCGCAATGCAATGCCACTTTTCTGATGAAATTATCACAAGCTATCATTCACTGATTTGAAAAATTTTGAAATTTGCGCAATTTGAATGATTTGCATTTGCAGCTCATGCACCCAACTCCTTCATCATCATGAATGTGGCACCTGCTCTGTTGATCGTTGGTGTCGCAACACTGCCTGAGGACGCGAGCGCCACTGGGGGTGACAAAAAGTTCGCAAAACGCGCGGCATACTCTTGCCGCGCAGAATGCAGGTGGAGAAATTTAATGAACATTATTGTGTAATGAACACAATTCATCGCAATGTTGCAGGGGACCAAATTTCAGTCTCAGTATTGGGAAATTTCTGGAGGCCATGCATATCCCAGGTTTTCCTACACTGTTCCACCCGTCGGGGTTGACCTTCGCGCGTCTTGGGCGCACATAAACGACTGGTAAATCCCCCTTTCCCACGAGCATACTGATATCTGGGGATAAAATGCACGTTACTGATCCACAATGGACCACGTGTAAACATGTTGTATTGCCAGTGTGCGTTTCTCCTTAAACAAACGTTGATAAATGCGCTGTTGCTCGCATTGACAAATTTTCAATATGTTGATCATTTGAATGTTTAATATGCTTCTGAGCTGTATCTAGACCTTCCAAAATATGTACAGATTTAGTACAAAATAATCCGAGATCAGTGTCGAATATGCCTGAAATGAATGGTGCAGGCCATGCACGACAGGAGGTTCGTGCATGCAGGTGTGTTTTTATCAATAATTGACGATGGTTGGAGCAAAATTATTGCACTTGCAGATTGATCTAGAACGCAATGGAAACTGACCTATTTTCGCTCCTTAATCCTCTGTAATTCGCGTGCATGTCATCAAGCTGTGGCGCAGCGCGTCGTAAATGCACTTATCTGTGAGCATCAGCGGCTGCGCCATCCGCAATGTGCGCGTTTTCAAAAATAGGTGTCCAAAATGCTGGAAGTTGATTTTCGGCAGATTAAGGTGACTTTCCGCTGTGTCGTGAAATAATTAATGTTGTACATGCTGTGCAGTTGTATGCCCAAACCGTTCAATGCTAGCTCAATTAATTCGTCCGATAGGGGCAATCATTGTGAACAATCGGCCAATCAACGAGCCTCCAGTTCTCGGAATTGGGACGTCCAAATTGGGCGCCCTTGCAGCGATTGGCGACTCGATCCTGTGCTATTTATTGTGGCGGTAAATTTGCGACTGCGCTTGTTTCCCCATTTAGGGAAGGCGGATATTTCGACGACGACAGAAGGCACAGAATGTCGCAATATATGATCGTATCCAAGCACAAGAATGTGCGATACGATCCAGTGTACCCTGTGACGGCACCGCTGGACTCCATTGCGGTGCTGTGGACAGAGTAAGTTCAACATTCTTCCCTTTGTCGTTATTTCATTATCGTTAATGTGCCACATTGTTTTACGCGTGTTTCAAATAACTGTCAAGAACAGTGCATAAGCAGAGAAACTGAAAGTTCGAGATTTACAAAGGTTAAATTCGCATATTATTTGCAAAGAGCGGCGGTTGATTCGCTGCTTCAAAGTCAACCGCACATGTCGCTTCAGGATACGGAACGGACTTTGGCTGAACTGCTCATTCAGATGCCATCCTGCAAGCCGGGGAGCCAGTGAATGAGCTTGGCGATTTCGAACAAGCATCGATGCATCGTGGCTGAGCTCGCAATGGAGCTCCATCAATATTCATCTTGTCAAAATGGCGAAGCCATAGGAAGCCATTTTATGGACCCTCATTAACTATGATGTTGTTCCAATTTGAATTGCAATGCATTTACTGACAAAATTATCAGGGTAGGCCTAAGTGCTCTGGTTCTGCTTAGATGCGGTCAGCGTAGTTGCATCAGATACCCTTCGCGAACACCAGTTTCCTAAGCCTGGATCTAAAACCCGAACCGAGTCCTAATGTAGTCATGGCTTCTGAAATCAAGCCCGTGCGTCCATAAGCGACATCCTCATCACTTGGTTTTGGCGGCCTAAGCTCCTCACCTCACACGGTCCATACCGCACGTGTCCTGAACGCACATCGTCTTGCCGCAGCCACTACATTCAGTTGCAGTCTCCGGTGGCGTCCAAGGGCGTGCTCGTGCCCTGTGGGAATCCCTCCGTGGACTTCGTTTTGGGAATCCACGAGGAGTACTTGGAATTCGACACGTCTTGTGCGCGCGACCCCTACGACATGCACTGGGCCTGGGCCGACATGGGGATGGAAATCGGCACAGGTGGGCGAGTCCCCGATGTCATAACAGTTTTCCATTTTCCGAGGCCCTCGGACGCTCCGGACGATTTTGGTTAGGGCACGGTCACTTTTTCTTCTGATAAAAGTATAAGGAATCAATCATACAAGTTATCGAAATTATAAAAAATGAATTTCACAACTGTCACTGGAAGTGCGGCGGTGCGGTGTCAGTTTTGCACCGCGGAAATTCCCGCATCTTTCTATGTGCAAAGAGCCCCTTTTCATCAACGGGGTCCAAACTGTTCGGAATTAGTGCGTGCATGTCCGGATACCCGCGTGCACTGTGGGCACATTGTCCACTGACCAGCTCGGCGCTCCGCTGCGTAATCGTGTGCCCTGTTAGCGCACGAGCATTCATGCTCCCTAAACATGCTTTTCAGGAAGTCAGATGTCTTGGTGCCTGTCATCTTCGAATCGGTGCCGCCACGACCCTGTTTCTTGGCGCCATCTTGCACAGGAGCTCCTTGCTTCGATCAGCATGTAATATATTGGAGCTCAATAAGTAAATAAATAAATAAAAATATAAATAAAAATATCATGCATATTTCGAATCATATGATATGATCACATACCAGATGACCCGCTACATGAAACATTTGGTGCCATTTCTACTGCTAGTTGCGATGCAGACAGTTTCGAGCTGAATGAATATTTCAACCTTAATGGCGGCCGTGCACCAAATGGATTCCGCAGATCCGTGGTACATCTTCGTTGGAGCCGACTGCGATGGGAGTGGCTGTGAGAGTCCACATGTGTGGGCTGGATTCAACTGTCTTGATATTCAGATGCCGCAAGGGCCGGCTGAGAAGCCCGCCTCCAACTCGAGATCGCGCTTCGAATTCATGCCGTCCATCGCCAAAATTTCCCTTCCAGAGGTGAGGCTTAATGAATCAAATCCTGAGGACATGGCACATCGAGCAAAAGCATGCTTTGGGAGATGTACGCCTATTCCGTAACTTTCGTCGTGACTTAAGCGTTTCGGAGGCGATTGAGACATTGAAAGGCCGCATTGCATAAGAGAAAAATCCCCAAAACACCTGTTTTATATCAGAAAACGCAGGGTGATCAGCTCAGGTTTGCCCGAATGATTACTGACCTAGGTGCTTAAGTATTCCATGAGCATGTGAGCAATACATTCATTGCCCTCCTTTTCTACAAACTACGATTGTTTACTGCTGTAATAGATACGATACCAATCTTTTCGCAAACGATTTTCTGGTTTTTCTAATTTCTGCATGGAAATTTCTCGGTTCATTTCCTTGCGCACCACGCAGGAAGCCTGCTACCGCGACCTCGCACCTCCGATTTTCTTGGGCGCCGGCGACGTCAACTATGCCCCAGCGTGCGGCCACCAGACCTGCGCCTCAGTTCCAAGAGGGTCGCCACCCTGGATGACACTGGACTTTGGAAACAGCGCATTTGTAGATTCCGTGGTCGTGAAGGTGAGCGGGGGCGGAACCTGAGCTATGAACAATTTCCGCCCATCGTCTTTCTGAATTGTGCTTGCATCTGCTGCACTCGCGGCAAGGATATCAAGGCTAATGCCCATGTGCAACTGAATTGCACCGAGAATTATAGACCGCACATTAATCATATCCAAGGGAGACGCAACCTGGTAGATGGAGTGTGTTCCCATGAGGCTCATCGGAGCGCACGAGTGAGTTCGGAATATTTTATGCATTCATCCTTGGGAGTCATTTCAAATCCGCCACATTGTAAAGCGCATTGTTTTGTGGCGAAACCATATCGCCGGTTGTCTTGAAGTTGGCACACATAATGCTTGGAGCATCTGTGTAACAAAAAGCGGATCGCCTTGCACTCCTGAATGCCCACAAAAGCCTCAAACGTGAGTCCTTTTGTGCAGGCAACCTCAATATCTGGCTCAATCAAAGCACCAAACGTGTTCGAAATATGTCTGTTTCCCTCTCTTGGCGTTGAGGCTGTCAATGGCAGTTAATACCGAAATATAATAAATAAATAAATAAATACGAGACTGTCATGGTTCGCGCTCGCAGGCATCCCACGAAGGCACCAAAATTCGAGACTACGAGCTGACAGTGGGCAAACATCAGGACGGTAACCGCAACCCAAAATGCCCCGAATTTGAGGTTAGAAGCGCCTTGAGACGGCATGCGCAAAAATTCAGGCAGTGAAATGAGAAGCTGCGCAAATACTCTGTGCAGATAATGGTGTCCCACAGCAGAATGTCTTCTTCCTGGTGGTTTCAATCTAGAGATTGCGACTATTTATAGCACGAGTATGGGCACAAGCACGTGCATCAGCATTGGAGACCTTTGAATGCCATCGATAAGATAAAGGAACACACCGAATGCCCACAATGGAGCAGCTGGATGTTAGATGTGCATTTCAAATTCAGTACTATCCCGCGTGCAAAATGGACGATCGATGGCCATCGCTTAAACTATTGGCACCTTCTTTGTTGGTTATTTTGGGGACTACAAATCGCTGCAGGGTGTATGAAATGCCGTATGCCTTGACAACATACTGACTGCCGAACTCGCTTCACTCGCAGGAAACGCGCATACCCCCGGGTGGCAGAATCATGCTGAAATGCGGTGGATATGGAAGGTACCTAACTTTGAGGCGAAAGGAAAAGTGCTCCTCTTTGCAGCTATGCGAATTCCAGCCCTTCGGGGATGTTGCCGCGTCGTGCCCCGACGCCACTCCCGCAGACTACAGCTCTGGAGATCCCCAAATCAAATTGATGGTGCGGGTCTTCCGTTGCCTCCTGCGCGGCGCGTTTGCGTCAGCGTCGCTTCTCCACCCCCACGTGTTGCGGAATCATCCACATCAGTCATGCTTGTACACCGCCTTGCTCACTCACTGTGTTTGACTTTGTGCAATGCGAACCAGTTCGCTTAAAACACGTTCGCAATGAATGGGTACATGCCATGTTGTTCACTGCTTCTGCCTTGTGCCAATTTCGCCCCAGAAGTTGTCGATTTCCCAGTGCACATAATTGCTTCGCATATCCATGTCGATCCCTCCTTCAACTGTAGAGGCAGCTTGTCGGTACGTGAGTGAGACGAACAGTGGGACAGACAGCGGACGCACTGTTCTTGTACAAGCACAAGTGCGGCTGGTTGGCGACATAGCCCTCGGTGGCAGCCACGCAATTAATGGACCATCATCATCACCATTGTCATCTCGCCTTCAACATCGTGCCATTCCTTCCACCAGATCACGAAAGTGCACGATCATCCCAACGCACAAGGCCACCCTCACCTCGGACCACACCACGCGCCCCCTCCCACCAAATTCTCCTTCCGAGCCTTCGCCTTCTTTTCCAGCCCCTTCGAGGCGCTCTCGGAGAGCCACTTCGCCGTGCCGTCGGGCTTGGTGTACTCCATCCATCCCGCCCCCGACGGCTGCGGAGCCGAGGTCACGGGCTCGTTCATCCCCACGCCCTGCACTCATCCCGGCGACCCTATTGTGGGCCAAGTGTGCATAGACATCAGGGGGCCCGTCAGGGAGAAATTCGCCCAGAGGAGGCGGTACCAGTCTGGGGGGCCCGCGTGCGCGGCGATTCCGCACGCCGGCAAGCGCCTGCAGTGCCAAAGCGCCTATCTGTCTGTGGCTTCGCAGGTGAGCGCATCGGCCAAAATACACGGTTTCGAACCATCTAAATGTCGTGTAAACCGTGCCAAAACACGTAAAAATCATGTGCGATCACTCAATCGTTACTACACGGCTTGGTCCAGTTTTGTACGATGAATGCACAATTTTTAACACGATTTTTTTACATGATTTTCAATCGTGTTACACGGTAAACGATTTTCAAACCGAAAATCTTGGTATGTTTTTTACTGGTGGGATGGAGTTTTGAATTTGAACGGATCGCCACCAATGAACTGTCGTGGCACGCGCGCAGCTATGGCATGATGTTTTGGTGTACCATGATGTGACAAAATCATTGTGCAAGTACATTATTATGGTAGACTTGCTTGGGTATACCAATAGAAAGCGTTAGATTAGTTTGCATGCTGGCATGTTAACTTCAAATTCAGGATGACGACTGTGCAGTACTTCTATGTCGCCAACAAATAGTAGTGTGCTGCATTCATGTACATATTTATTGTTTCTAAGCTTGGTCACCTTTCTACGGGCAGATTTGCCTTAGTGATTTACGCACACTCTTTTGGGAGAATTTCACGCAGCTGCGTCTGGAAATTTGCAATGCTGGTCAGTTTTTATGTCTGAAAGCTCCTTTTCAGTGTATTATGCGACAAGCACTGTCGATTTGATTTCAGCTCATTACTTACTCACTGTGTTTTTGATGTAGGAATGTCAAAATGTAGGTGCATATGCTAGAGTATATTACCAATTGAGTTCACTTACATCCACTCACGCAAAGGAATATGAATTATTCAAACGTACACCTCACATTGCGTTTGCTTAAAACGGTTCGGCTGGTGGCCGTTATAACGCAACAGTTTTTTGCACTTTTCAGCCCAAGCTTTTTGTAAACAAAAATGGTAATTACCAGTTTTGTTTCCTTCGACCTTAATTCCGGAAAGCTGGCAGGTGGCGCTCTCTGCGGAGGGACCCGTCACTAGCGGCGACAGCATCCTCGTCGTCGCCCAGCTCAGCCCCCGCGCTTCCGTCGACGAAGAAATTTTCCACGTCCACGGGCCGTATGGCACTCGCCTTCGTGGCGTGCAGCCATCCGCCATCCATGGCACCTACTACCTAGACGTCGAAGTGGGCGCCAAGGCGGGGACCATCAAGGTGCACCTGCAACTCTCGCGCCACCAAGGCGCTGCAATTCATTTCGCAATTTCATTCCATGCAGTGAAGTCGATTTGAATACACGATTGAGAATGGACTGATAACTAGCAGCTTGGATGTCAATCCTTTTGGAGTTGGACAATCACAAGATTGCATTAAATGATGTCATGTGAGCCATGTTTTTGTTGTAACATCGTGCACTATGCGTATATGTACTACATGTAAGCAACGCATGGCAAGAACTAGTTGCCATGCATCGTATAACTGAAGTATATTCTCCATTTAATGTGTTATGGCTGGCCTTCTGATTTTCGTCCTCGTTGTTGCTGTTAGCATCAATGTGGAAACGTTGCGCAGGGGGTTTGCTCCAGGGTAGTTTGAATTGTTTTCCTGACAAAAGGCTTATGGGTTAATTTACGTGTCTGCGTCCTTCAGATATGCATAGACGAAGATTACTTGCGCGAGCATCGGTTCTACCCTGCAGGCTGCCTCCGAGTATTCAAGCGCAATGCCACCGTGAGTAGAAGGCCAAACCCATATTGTTGTGTTTACCAATGATCCGTTCCTTTCACTAGGACAAAAAGGGCTAAATAACACTTTTGAGAACACACATAAAACACATTTCATCAAAGTTCTGCACGCTAAGAACACAACAATAACACAAACCCGTAAACTTTGTACACGTTTGAACACGTGTTATTTGGCCCTTTTTTCCTAGTGCTTTATGCGCCGATTTGGGTCCATGCTAATATTCTTTGCCACCGCTTAGACTCGTTCACACTGCATTCGATCTGTCGTACTCATGTTGCGTTCAGCACTGATCGAAATTCCTGTAGAACGGAATTCAGCCATTCAGGTGCAACTGAGCTTATCCTTCTGTTAATGTTGAATGTTTTCATTGCAGCGAAACGTTCAGGATATTGGTATCGGCGATGACAAACACAAACAGTCCGTTGCATTTCCCAAAAAGACGGCTGCACTTTTTCAGGACTACCCTTCGCCATTGTTCACGATTGCTTTCTCAACGTCTGGTAGACTTGCAGGAACTGCCTGTCCTGTCCCGTGACTTGCGCGTCGACGCCGGAGCCACTGTAACTCAACTCCCCCACATCCCCAAGATCCATGTCGATCAGATTCACGTCGGTCACGGCGACCGCGACGTGCCCCACACGCTTCACGCTCACGAAGACAAACCCCTCGCGGAGTACTACGGTCTCGTGAACGAGGTGTTCATTAGAGAAAGGCACGCCCAGAGGCACGGGAAGAAGCCGAGCCTGGCCGACCTCTTGGAGGCCGGGCTCCAGGACATCGCCTCCCACCAGCGGAGCATACAGCTGCAGCTTCGCGACAGGAGGCGCCGCCATGAGCTGCTCACGGCGCCCCCGGTGTTGGAGGCGAGGGTATCCAAGGGAGCGGTGAGCACGGTCTCGGACCTGACCGGCGCCCCTGCAGTGGCGGCGGTGAGGGAGGTCACGTCCGCAGCGACGGAAGCCTGCGGCCGCCACGGCGTCGGCGGCTTTCCGCTGTGCATGGAGGTGACGGCCTGCAGGTTCGATGCTCTTTCCGTCGGGAATTGCGGGAGTTTGAATGGCGCGTCGGGAGGGGGCCGGGACGCCGAGGGCGGATGCGAAGTGGGCCGCGCTCTGGCCGCGGCGCAGCCGTGGCTGTTCCTCGTCGTGGATGCGCTGGTCTCCTCGACGATCGAGGCCGGCGGAGGATCCGATGGAGGCCAACTCGTGTTCGACGGTGACGCTCTGGTTGCCGCCCTCGGGCACAGCAAGCGGGTGGCCCCCTACGGCAGATACCTCCGTGGACTGCTTGCCGGCTCGCAGTCCCATTCTCGCGCCAGAACGCATGCGGAGTCGCGGACGGGATTGAGGATGCCGGCGGCTGGAGGGCGGGAGATCAGGCGCCTGCTGCCGACGCTCAGGTGCCTGCTGCAGTGCGACCTCGGCAAGGCGTGCTTCGGCCTGCACACCGTCGCCAGCCTCCTGGAGCGCATGGAACCTACCTTCGTCCGGCAGGGCCTAGCCCTCCACCTGACACGCCTGGCCTGCCAGCCCCTGGCGTTCTCCAGCCTGTTGCAGCAGCTCCCGCAGGTGGGCGGGATGACTAAGATGGTGATCCCCCGGCCGTCCTACCGGCGGCCGTCGCCTTCGAAGGCGGCCGGCTTGAGCGCCTACGAGGGCGCCGTGCTGGACAACTGCCTGCGCGACCTCGGCATGGACCAGCCCGAGATGGTGGCCTGTGGGCTGAAGACTCTGTTCTGGGTGTACGAAGGCAGGGATGCGTCCTTCGCCAAACTGCCCCTACTGGCCTGCCTGGCCTGCTCCGCGGATTCCCACCTGCGATCCGGCGAGGAGGCGCGCGCCGGACGCGACCTCCTCGCACATCGCAGCGGCCCGGCCCGGGCCGCCGTCGCCTCCTCTCTGCAGTACTTTGACGGGATCGACAAAGACTACGCGACGGCCATGATGGCACCCGAGGCGGTGGAGGAGGGCGTGGAGGCCGTGCGCTTCATCGTGGAGGTCTACCAGACGCTGTTCGAGCAAGTGGACTCGCTGCCCGAGGCGGGGAGAGCACCGGAAGGCTACGACGACGCCATCCACCGTGTGCTTCCCCTGGTCGTCGCCGCGCACAAGAAGCTGGCGGATGCCGGGGATGGCGACGCCGCCCTGGCCCTCGCTGACTCCCTCATCGCCTTCGAGAACCACATCACGGCCGACGAGTTCGCGAGCTACAGGGAGGAGGCGGTCGTGGTCCTGGGCAGTGTCCTGGGATCGGCGTTCAGGCCGTGCCACAGCTTGGCCGGCTGCCGCCCACGCCTGGACTCCGCTCTGCGCGAGTACCTACCTTTGCTGGATGCCATGAATGCGGCGTCACACCCTGGCGCAGGCGTCCATGGGGACGTTCTTGATCACGTAGGTGCGTCAGCGGACGAAGCCTTGTCTTTGCTGGGGGTGAGGCTGGGAGGGGTGGGGAGGCAGGAGGGGGAGGGATGGCACGCGCTGCTGCCCGCGCTGGAGCGCCTGCTGGAAGGCGACGGGGAGGCCGGCGGGGGGCGGGAGTTGGCGGGCTACCTGGGGAATGGGATGTCTGTAGCGGTGGTTTAGTGCAGGGTGTGCGGGGCCCACCCAAGGCGGCAAGGAAATAGGGGGACAGTCTGTGGAGGGGCCAGGCGTGTGGCCGAGTTGCTGCGCAGTTCGCCAGTTAATTGGGCCAGTATAATCAAATTGTAACTGATAATTATCTATTGGTCTTAAGGCCTTGGTGAGAAAGGATGGAGATCGTTTTGGTCGTGCGGCATTTGATTGAGTTTGCGGGCCGGGTTTGGGAAATGGGCGCAGGGGGAAGGGTATGTGATGCTGGAGGGCGAAGCTGTGCACGGAAGCCCTGAGACCTGGCATGGGCAGTGGCGCAAATGCGATACGTGGCGAGGGGCAAAGGAAAGAGGGGGGATGATTGGGAGGGTGGTCAAGATCGTGTACTCAAGCACCAAGAGACCCGGCATGGGTTGCTGCGATTGGCCGCAGTGACCTGTGCCAGGGACATGTTTAATTGGCACTCACATGCTCGAATTGCCTCGTACATCAGCTGCGGATCGGTGTATCGTTTGGGTCGACGTGTACTTCCTATGGCTGCATACGAAGAAGGCCCATTTTATGCACAACGCAATTGCACGGTATTCTTGACAGTGATTGAAAGTCGTCAGTACGGTCGTCATGGCGTCAGCAACACGATTTGATGGAATATCCTTTACTGTGATCAAGAAAAAATAAGCATTCGCTATCTACTTCACTTTTGCAGGTTCACTTTGCTTGCTGGGTGCTGTCGACATGCGGCTCCCTGAAGCAAGCACTTTCTGATATTATGGGAACTCACAAAAATTTTCTGGGAGACCCTACAGCGGCCTGGACAACAGCAAATTCTCTGAGTTGCAATGCACGACCTGCACATCACGAGATGGGCCTTCCAACGTACTTTACAAAACACCCCACTACCCCAATCATCTGCAACCTGCCATAAAAATGTCCCAGTCCTAACCTAATAGTAGTAGCAGTTCATGTAACGTTGCCCTGTTTCGATCGGGCAAGAAGGCAGGTGGATCCCATTATTTAGCCTGTTCAAGCACAGGAAACACTCACACCGGTGAGTGTGCCCACCACAATGGCAAAACCTTCATTTTTTTGCTTTTCCTGCTTTCTTGCACAACTTCCCAGTTCTCCCTGCCTCACTCTGGGATTGCCGAACGGCATGCCACGCTGGAGATTCTCTATCCCGAAACCCACCAATGGAAAAGACACCAACCATGACTTTCTTCCCAGCGCGGCCATGGGGTTTCACAAACCCCGTTTCCATCCCATCCTCCCCCCTCCCATTCCCCTTCTTCGCCCAGCCCCACATGGCGACATATCCGTGATTGCCCGCCCGCTAACAACTGCGGACTTCCACCCACTCTCCAAATCTTTGAAGATCGGGACAACGTGTGAATTCATCGCATCATCGTCGGGAAATCTCACATATCGAGGCGAGAAGGCTGCCATCATGTGCCCAGTGCGTGAATTCATAATCAATATCATCCTCATCAAAGAGCCCCACACATCGAGGCGAGAACGCGGCCATCATTTGAGGAGGGCGCAAATTCATCACCAGTGCTCATCCTCCACGCCGGCAACCGACCAGCTCCCCCTCCAGTCGAACCTCCTGCCCAGAGATCCCAAATACCCCTTGACGGCCTCCCCGTCCTCCCCTCCATCCTCCTCGCTCCTCTCCTCTTTGTCATCGTCGCAGTACTTTGCGAACTCGGCCTCCAGGGGGGACACATTCTCCTTGCCCAGGTAGTACACCAGCGGTCGGCCCTTGCACAGGGGCACCCGCTTCCCCGTCCTCTTGAAGCCTTCGTAGGCGTTGGCCTTGGACCCCAGGGCCCCATCGGCGGCGCTGTCCACGGATGTGACGAACACGCTGGCGGCCGGGCGCCGCCTGGGGGGCGTCTCAGGGTCGGCATCGGGCGACGGGATGGCATCGGCGGGCATTGAGTTGGCGGAGTCGGCGGCCGGGGAGGGGTCCGGTGAGGCCTGGCGAGCGGAGGGACGAGGGTGAGCATTCGACGCTATTTTCATATTATGGCGGAAAAAAACAGTTGTTGCAGAAAAATACATATTATATACATATTATACTGCACGCGTACTATGGCGGAAAACAGTTTTCGAGCGAAAATTGCGAGCCGGCGGATGGGCTTGTTCAGAAAATGGCGGGGGCAGGGACGACGGGGGAGCCGTTCGAGCGAGCAACGTGGGGGACGTCAGAATGTGAGGGCGGGCGTGGGCATGTTCGAGCAAGGACGGCTTGCTTGGTGGGGCACCCGGTTCAGGTCCGCGCGGAGATCCAACCCATTCAACTCAACAAACTCAACGGTCTGAGTCGACTCAAAACAAGCTCCTGACTGCCATTCCCTGCTGAACAGCCCTGCCCCCAGACCCGACGGCCCGCGCCCCGACACTCCTGCACCACGGCGTCGGGCGCCCCCGCAACCGCCAGCCATGACCACCCCCCGTGGGCGCTGAGCACCAACCAAATCAAAAACAGAAACAAAAAGCAAAAAGCAAATGATCCCGAATCTCCAACCACCATCTCCCGCACCGCCACCGAGTCCATCACCGCTCCAGGGCGCTCGCCCGTCCGCCCGGCGGCCTCCGCCCCCTCTCGCCGCAAATCGATCCTCAGCGGCCGCATCATCGCCGGCCGCCGCTTGGCCCGCGACGACTCCGTGGGCTGCATGTACCTCGGGATCTCTCTCAGCGGCCTGGCCGGCTCGATCCTCCCGCCGGGCGGTGGCGCCGCGATCGGCTGGGCTTCCTCATCGCGACACCTGTCCGCCCACCAGCGCCACCTGGCCGACAATGTGGGTCGCATGTACCCGGGCTGTCCGTCGCGGACCGCGCGATCCTCGAGCATCTCGGCCGCGAATCGGGCGATTTGATGGCCGGAGGATGGGCGATGAGAAGGGAGTGCTTGCAGGTGGCCGGTCGGCGCTGAAGCGGGGCGCGAGGCAAGGGCCAAAACGTGGGTGGTGGGGCAGGCGGGGGTGAAAAGTGCCGGAGCCGAATTGGGCGGGTGCCAGAAATTGGGTGGCGCTTGAAAACAAAGATGGGGGCTGGTCCTGGACCCCGGGGCCCCTCGATGCGTGCCGAGTTCGAATTTTAAAATGCATCAGTACATTGGTATAGTTGACTCGATTGGATTTGGACTCGGGTGTGCGCAGTGTGTGCGGCTGCGAGGTTGGTGAGGGGGCGTGCGCTTGAGCGAGCTTGCTTATTGCCGAGGCCCTAACGGGTGGGGGTGGGCGGCCATGGTCTGGTTCATCTGCGATTCCTGCGGGGACTCCATCAAGAAGGTGGGGAGGCGGAGGCCGGGTGCAAGAGCGCCTCGGTTTGCCCTGCGCCCTGCGCGATCCACTGCCGCCCGCCGCCGCCTCGCAGTCGCCGAACCGTCGTCGGCCGAGGCATTTCCGCGCGTCGCGACAGCGCCCTGATTGGCGGGCCAGTCACCCAAGCGGCCAGGGGAAGGCGGACGGCGATGCGATGCAATCCATGCCGCCCGCATTTGGGCAGAGGAGGTTTAGGGGCTGAGTTCATCTAGTTTTGTGGGTGATCGATGGCGATGCAATCCATGCCGCCCTCGTTTGGGCAGAGGAGGCTGAGGGGTTTAGTTCATTTAACTTTGTGAGCTGCGGCGCTTTTGGTTTTGGTTGTGTGGGTGGTCGATTGCGACGTAGTCAATGGCGGCCCCAATTGGGTTGAGGTGGTTGAGGGGTTGAATTCATCAAACTTTATGAGCTGCGGTGCTTTGGTTTTGGTTGTCTTGGTGGTCGATGGCGACAGCGCGGGACGGCTGGCGGACTCGCCGGCTTTCACGAGAACCGGCTTTTATTACAGCGGTTTTTGTGACGCATTTTGAGTAGGTTCCTTTTGCGTTTGCAGCCGAAGGTGGCGAAGCACCTGGGGTCGTGCGCGGCCTGGAGCTTCACCTGCATAGATTGCCAGCGGACGTTCGACCGGAAGAGCGTGCATGTGAGTGACTGCACCGCCCTCGTCGAACTTGCGGTTAACAGGTGCTGCGCTGTGTCCCCTGCAGATGTTGTGGGGCCCATCCGCAGTAGCAGCTGACGCATGTTGAGCGGCTCATGCTTTTGGTGACATTTGTAGAGAGGGTAAAACACGGAATGTGATCGTTCTCTCGCAGCTCACCGGAATCCTCGCAGTCCTGTAGCTGCAACAAGCGGTACTGGAAATATGCTGCTGAGATTATTCGTTCTGGTGTGCTTGCACTTGACTGAGAGCGCTCTGTGGTACCTAATGTTCAAAACCATTTTTTTCCAAGTCGTTCAAAACAACAAGCCAGCACATCCCTTATAGGCATTTGGTACAGCATGGATATTTTTGGCAGCGTACGGGTAGCTCCTCAACACCTTATGGTCTTTGACATGTTTCCTGTGCTCAATGCCGGATTGTTGCTGGGGAGATGATGAGCCAAAGCTTCCCTGAAAGCTGGTTTGTGTTGACAGTAGAGCTTACATGACAACAGTGAGCTGCTGGCCTTTGATACTGAAACAGGAACTTCATCGTAGTAAAGAGCTCCCTTGCTGTGTACTACAAAGACAGACAAATGTTGCACGACAAAGGCCAGCAGTTCGATGCATGTGATGCATGGCTTGTCCACAATTACCTCTTGTAGCGTCCTCAAGTCATGTATCTCAGTCATGGTGAATGATTACAAATAACCTGTAATTCCACAAGTGCCCGTTGCACTACCTTTGAAAACTTTAGCATCAGCCTTCACAGTGTGGAAGAGAACGTCACAAACTTTCTCTGGTGTTGAGGGGGATTGCACAGTGCTCGGCATGTCGTCATTGTTTTATGGATCAGAGCTTGAGTGCCTGATGATGGGATCCCAGGCAGGAGCAGATTCTGGTGGCTGTCCCAATGGCGCTATCAAACTCATCTCCTGTCTACTGCACTTGTATTTGCAAGACATGACAACATGAAAAGGGAACATATGGTAATCACTTTAAATCAGAGAAGCAGACGTATAATCAAATAGACAGTTTGTCAAATCAAAGAAGCTATACAGACAGTGAAGCAGCCTTGGTGCCTGTTGATTTGTCTTCTGATGTGCACTCATGACAGAACCACATCAATTGTGTGAGTGAGAAAGAGAAATATGTTGATGGTGCCACCAAACCTGGAGGCTTTGCAGCAAAAGGTTATGCAGATGGTGCTGTAGAGGCTCGTGCGCAAGTGCAAATTGAAGGCGGAGAATATCTGTCACAGCGGCCACCATGGATGTGCAGGTTCGTATGTTTGTCCTTGACATCAACATTTTTTACATATCCCAATGGCCATTGATTGCCAAGTCATTATTCTTTGCTGCATGATCATATTCTGTGGTCATTTTCCAAACACCAACAGTGTCCTGGCTCCTGGGTACCAAAATACTGCAGCAAAATAGAGAAGTGCATGTGACTCAGTGAAACATGGTTCATTTATCTTCTTTACAGTATCTTGGATTCACTGTCCTTCTGTGATGTAGTTCGCTGGCATTGGCCGACTGTGTGAGCCATTCTTGGTCATTGCTGTATGCTGCGTGCTGTCCCCTTCCACTCCAAAAGCTCTGCATCACTTTTCAGAGTGGACAAGATTTTCATACGCAGTCATTGCTCAGGAGCGTATTCCCATTGTTTGGCGCAGTGTTCTTCCATAGAGGTGAATATTCTCGTCACGTCTATGATGGAAGGATACAGTGGAAATGTCAAAATTGCTTAACATCGCCACGTAGTTGCAATTGCTTAGTGCTGTCACAAGGGCAAACAGATTGAAAGAAGTGCACGGCAGTTATCCGTGACAGTTCACATACAGTCCCACTTATGGTTTGCTAGTGCCCTGAAACACTGCTGTTTGGCAGTGTGGCCAGCGATGAGTGTGTCTCCCTGGCTGGATGATTACACATTCTTCCCTACTCTCTTCTGAGGGAATGTGGAAATGTTATTTGCACTGTATGACTGCCAGGGGATGTTGAACATTGGTTCCCTTGCAATTACGTGCTCCTAGTTTTCAACAGTGCTCTGAATGGGTATACTCATATCTAGCATGCTTGTTATGACAGCATGGGTTCCACAACAGATTGTGTGCAAAATGACACTCTATAAATGGAAAATTACTACTTCAATATCCCCTATACATCCTGATGTGGTGTTGTGAGTTGTAGAAGCTATTTCAATGATGGCATGTCAATCAAGAACTTCAATTGGGTCAGCAGTTTGAGGATTCATAGCTGTCTCATTCCATGTCACAGGTGAATGAGCACTGGAGGTGCTGGAGGTGAACATGCACTGTGTGCTCAGTATGATATGCTGATGAGCCGATTATGCCATGCACCACTTTGTGTTATCTGCACAGCATGTGCGCAATGTAAGTTGGATGGGTATCTATGCACAGCAGATAATAGGTATATGATGTCATGTATGTTGTGCAATTAATTATGGTACAAATTGGAGTCAGTCAATAATGAAATTGTGTTTTCTTCTTTTGGCTCCCAAACTGCTGCCAACAGCAGCAGGATGGCTCGTCTGTGGTACTGCGTAGTGCTGTGAATGTTGTGCTTTGAAGGTTCACAACAATGTTGATGTGTTGGTTCAGCTTGTGCAAGGTGACCTGCACCAGTCGAGACAATCTTCTGAATCACGCTCACTCAAAAGGCCACACAAAGAAGGTGTGGTTCCTTTATTGTTTCTGTGTTCAATTCTTTTGGGCCATGCTTGTCTTCTCAGAGCATGATGGTGCCATTTTGTTGGGAAATCAAGGCCAGACACATATACAACCAACACAGTTGCAGCTGTGGGTATACTGCCTTTTGTGTTATGCTCTCCACGATACTTGATTCGGGTGTTTACAATTCGGTGCCGATGACCCAGCACAGCAGTGCTGCAGAATGACAGTGAACCCACAGCGAATGTTGCGGTTTGCGATGATGCTCAGTTCCAGACTGTTGGTGCTGCTTTGAGCTTGACATGCACACAAACCAATACTCCGCTTTTCCAGTCAAACCGGTTGGAAGCCTGTTGCTGAAGGCAGTTTTTGTTGGCAAATGGAAGTTCATCTTCTGGAGCAGTCTGCTACTGTGTCAAACGACTATTGGGGTTGTCCTGGACATTTGTGTTTCTACCGAGTTGAGGAAACATTCAAAGGAATGTTTTGCAGGCAAAGAAGGCAAGCGTGGCCGATGGTGCCACTGCCAAGCAAGATCATACGCTGGGAGGTCTTGGTACAGATTTGGGATCGAGTAGCAGAGATGTTGCTGAACAGACAGCTGCTTCAGCAGATCCCTGCCCAGAGGTGAGCAGACTCTTGCAAGCTTAGTTTCTGGTCAAAGTGACCAAAACATTATAAGCAGAACAGAACAGTATGCAGAACAGTATAAACAACAGAACAATAGCGATTGTCCAAATTCTCTTTCATGAATGCACACAACAAGAGAAAGGCAGCAGTGTGTCTGCCCTTTTGTGCTGTCTGCTGTTTTAAGCATAAATTCATTGTCTATTGTTTTCGGTTTCCTGCAAGGCGTTGTGATTTGTGCGGAAATGGTCAATAGACTGACCTTGCACACATGGGTAATCACTAATGCCAGCACACAGCTGGAAAATGGATCGTGTCCAGCTGTGTTTGGATGGCTGAAATCATCCAGATGCTGAGTTTGTTGGATCGAAGGATGTGCAACTATTGTTACAAGAACAAAACATATGAAACATTGTCAATGTGAACCCAGGGCTGTATCTGTTAGTGCAACATGAAAGATGGCGCACTGGCCATGTCAAGTCTGTCTTCTGAGTCCAGAGCAGGAGATAGCGCAAGTTTTCCGGATTGTCCATAAGGAAGTCACAGCGCGAGAATTATGCCAAGTCCCGAATAGTAAGAGCATGGCTGTTGCAGATGAAGGCACTATGCATGATGCTGCTATTGTGCTCCTAACATATGCTTTGTTGTACCTTGGAAGAAGAATGACAGGATGCGCAAGGAGTTAGGCAGCGCCAAAGAGGATGAGAGGTCAACGAAGTCATCAAAGAAAAGAAAAGCACTGCACCCAGCGGATGCTGCATACATGGGGCAGTGCAGCGCTGATTCGCCAGCCGGCTCCAAAAAGCACAAAAGAAAGCGTGGCATAGTTACTCAAGTGGCAGCCGAATCAGCACTCAGCCTTGGCAGAGAAACCGCCAAGGACTCTGCTGGCCCGAACAAGGCAGTCGATGCTTTGCAAGAAGATGAAGGCTTGGTGGGGGCAAATGCTGTTGCCAAGAAATTGAAGAAGGCAAAGAAACGTGAGCCTGGCGCTTGTGGCGGGCACTTGAAGGCTGGGCTGCTGGGCAATGGCGTTGTGAAAAAGAAGGCCATGAAGAAAATGGCGAGGGCTGCTGCCTGCCAAGAGAATGGAGCTGTCTTGGCAGAAGATGGCAAGGAAGTGAAGAAGGCCAAAAAGAGTGAATCAAAGGGTGTGGTTGACAGGGAGAATGGGAGCATGCTGGAGGATGGTGATGCCCAGAAGGAGAAGAAGAAAAAGAAGAGTAGAAAACGTAAGTCGAAGGTCGATGTTGAGGAACAGGTTGGGGGCAGTGAAAGGATCGAGAGTGGAAAGGAAGCAAAGGCCAAACAGAAGAAGAAGAAGAAGGAAAGAAAGGCTGCTGACTCCTGATAGGCGGGGCTGACGCGGTTGTGACACAGTGCGACATGTATCTTTTGTGATTATTTGGTTGCATTTGTAAGAATTGACACAACACAGTCTCGCGCGATGAGGGGTACTTTAGCGAGGTGGGGCTTATCGCGAAGACGCCATCCCCACAGTGCCACTTTCGAAAGTGGCCGCAGAATCCAAGGCGCCTGTGGTAAAAGCCACACTCTGCACATTGTATGCCGACAAATGCTCACAAGGCAACGTCGTCATCGGGCCCGATGGTCCTCAAGCACGGCTTCCAGAGACGGTGAGATCCAGGCACCACTGATGAAACCGTCACCATCACTAGCAAAAAAAGGGCCAAATAACACTTTTCGAACACACATAAAACACATTCCATCAAAGTTCTGCACGCTAAGAACACAAAAATAACACAAACCCGCAAACTTTGTACACGTTTGAACACGTGTTATTTGGCCCTTTTTTCCCTAGTGCATAGTTTTGTGAAGAACATGCAACAGTTGAATATCCCACAGTTGCAGCACTGTCCCAGTGCCGTCGCTTCGTGGATGCGCGCAGAATGCCACAGGGTCTTGTACCGGACGGCCCCTGACGCCATTTCTTGAGAATGCATCCGATGCATTGGAGCCCAATACTGATATCCTGGAAATTGGCATTCCCAGTCCTGTTGAAAATCGCGTCCATGGGACTTCGCAGCGTCCTTTGCGTTGATAGGACCCCAAGTATTGAGCCAATAGCGCCGGATCAATTGTGTGCGATCAGCGTAGTGGCAAAACGCAAGCGTGCACCGACTGTTGTGGGCATTTCATGTCTAAGGCTTATGTATCTGGCGATATGTTGGGACTGAAGAATTGCTCAAATGCTTGGGAGCCGCAACCTGATTGTTGAATCACAGATTTGGAGAGAGCAGCCAGGTTGGGCCTCCTCGCACTCTTGGGAGGGGTCAAGTTTCGGCACCGTTGCTTCTAGAGCGCTCAAACGAGACGTAAGTTCGGCATCGAGAAGTAGGCCTGCTTGGATCTTGGCTGTCATAAACAGCCAATGAATCCTCCTTGTGTTTGCCATGCCGTGATAGAAGATGTCCAACTGACCAACCCTAGCAGCACGCAAGGCCCTTGTCCATCCTGCGCCAAGCCACGTGCACGTGGGGAACACGTGTTCCCTGCGATCGTGGGCCGAGCCTCAAGCTTCCCCGCTCTCTCTGAGCAGACGGTGGCTCCATCATTTCGCCAATCCGCAGGCTCATTTCCCATTTGATAGCATCGCATTGAAATTCTTGGCGAACAGCGTATTTGCCTCAACCGGAAGAACCGCTGGTTTACTGCGGCGACATGAGCGTGTTTCCCGGAAACATGCTGGCTCATGTGAATTGACAGTTTGCCTGTGCCAGAAACTCGCTGATCCCGGACAGTTTCTGTGCATGCTTAAACAGTGATCAAACTGTACTTCGAAGTGCAATTTTGGCACTATTCAAACATTTTAGAATTTGCATTGTGCAAAGCAAAGAAAGGAATGTCACATTGGTAATGCTAACGGTGCGAAAGGGGCCTTGAAAAGTGTATTTGAAATGAGCGGAACAGCTAATCGTCGTGCGATTAAATCGCGCAAACACAGCAGTGCGTTTTCCCTGTTGTTGCCAATTTGCACAGGGGATACACACTTTTGGCACTCCACTTGGTCATGGCGCCAATTGCTCGACGCCGCCTGGCAATGGACGTGCAAGCGATCCCAGTCTGCAAGATGAATGCAGCAGTGACCAATTCCTTTGGACCGCAACTGCCGTAGCAAAATTACGACAACAATGGAGCTCACGTATAAAATCAACTTCCATCCATGCCCATACTCCAGCGGACCGTTGTGCACCTGGCGCAGAACGCACATTACACACAGTTTCATGCGCGCTAAGCCAGAAAGTTCATGGGGTTCTAAGAACTCGTTTGCACCGTATTTACATATTTCCATGCAAGAAAAGCACCACGGGGCACGTCGCAAATGGGCTAAGTCCACCACCTTGGATTTCATTTGGTTTTTCAGACCGCTTCACCGGAGGGCAAAAACTGCGGATGGCGCTAGCCAGTCTTGTGACAGCAACGAAGCCAATCAACAAAGCGCACATCCCGCCATTGTGCAGAACCGCTCAGTGTGGCTGGCCTTTCCTGGACGGCGCAAAACGTTCGGCGCACCACAAGCTCGCTGCCCATGGACAGGTCTCTCGTGCTGCTAGTCGCCGCCAACGTTGCCCTACTGCAGCTCAACGTGGTGCTGCTGGGCCCCGTGGTGCAGGTGGGACTCTGTTGCGTATTGGCGCCCTTGCCAGCCCCTTGGGTCAGAAGTTCCGCCCTGCTGCGTTTTCAATCCCTGTCTCGACTTTGGTATTAATACTGGGGAGATCTCGGCTGTGTTCTCCGTGCGAGCCCCTCCCTCGACGGCTTTATTACGAACCCTGTTGTCTTTGCGCCGAGCAACTTGTGCTGGAATTGTCGGGCTGAGGTGAGTACAGTGGCCGTCTCTCCGCAGCAACGCTGCCAATGGGCGAGCAGGTCCGCCGAGCGCGAAAAGTTTCCTTGCAATGTGGAATGGCCGTTTTGCGGCCACCCGGCATTTCCCCGTGTGGGGCTGCGCACCGAGAATGGCTGCCTCTTGCCTGGCGAAGCGAGAAGTCAGCCTATAGGTTTGACCGGCATGAACTGGACGGAAGCATATTCAGCCTTCCATTGGGCGCGCCCACGATTGGGATTGCGCCAGCGCCAGCTAACGCACTCTGCTGCTTCGATTGCATGGGCAGTTCGAATGTGCCCATAGACACAGATTCTTGCCAAGAAACAGGCAAACAAGTTTCGGGGGCCGCACCACGAAAACGTTCCCAGGGTGGATTGTATCACAGCGCAAAGTAGTCGTTTTCTGTGCGGCGTCGTAATCTGGGCAATAGTTCGTCAGGTTTGCTCAGCATGCAGTCCTGCCGTTCCGTATGCAGGGGACATATTGTGCAGCTTTCGTCTGCAGCGAGTAACGATCTTTCAGTAGGTCACAAATCGCTCCAGCCAGAAGTGGCTAGTGACCACTAGACGCTATCAACCTTGTCATGAGAATGCTGATTGGTCCCTAGTGGTAAGATTGTTTGCGGATTGCCTGGCTCCCAGACAGTTTTTTCTGCCCTTTTGGCTCTTACCAGCTTCGACAACCGAAACAATATGTTGTATGCTTCCTATATGTGTTCCTTGTATTACATATCGTGTTCTGTATTTCCTGCATATCCTAAAAATTCAAGAAGCACGCTACCTCCAATAATGCAACTCAAAATTTATTGTAAAGCGAGATGAAAATGCGCTCTCAAATGTGCACACTATTGAGAATATGTCCATCATAGCCTTGTTGTTGGGAAATAGAAATGCGTCCTGAATTTGTAAAAGAAGGCAAACGAATGAATTGCAGTCGCGCATCATATGTCTGTGCCTGGACTCGTAACAAATGGCATTCATTTGCATATATTCGAATCTCCTGAATAGATTGAGTGAAACCACAAAAACTGCCCGGTCTCAAATCGAACACGTGTTATTGAGATAGAAATGACTCAGAGCGTCGGAAGAAGCACTGTAAATCCACAAATGTATTATCGCCTATTGTATATGACTGATCGTTTCCATTATTATCAAATCACGGTACAAAAGTTGCTGTGGAAGCTGTACTGTTGGCCGCAGTTGTCACAAACGATACTCTGTTGCCACCAATGGTGACTAACCAACATGTGCGATTGAAGCAAAATCCACAGAAACAATATGCACCCCTTGATTTATACCGCTGTTTTTATTTACAGTCTCTTTGTTGCTCGCCTTATTCTTTTGCTTCTCTCGTTATATTCCCTCATCTGCCATCTTACCTGTTTTGGAAATGAGCACATTAAGTGCATCGGCTCACCTGCGCAATTTCAAATACCGTAACATTGGCGACAATAGTACATGCATGCACTGCACTGCTGATGTGCATGCCGTGGGGACTACCGTAAATCTCACTCTAATGTTGCATTACATTCGGCAACATAGTTTAGGATTATACCCAGCAAAGCAAGGCATTTGCATGGCGATAGCGGCAATTATGTGTCAGTATCATCCTTTCCAAATCTCATTATAAGCCTTCGATGGTTTTTGAAATTCTCATCGCCGAAAGCACTTTAATGTGCAGGAATTTCTGGCAAAGGGCTCCGCCGGGACTCTGCTTAGGAGGCCGAATTCAACGTGAGCAGTGTTGCCCCATCGACTGTCACATACTTCGAAGTATTAGGCAGCATACCTTGAACAACTGTACAGCGTTAACATGCATCCGGAGCACAATATGTTGGCATTGATTCATGTTCTTTCTGCTTAGAATAAGTTAATTAAAAAACTGCACACATTGCGTTGTATTTATTTTAATGTGTAATCTGCATTTCATCTGTGATATTCCAACTACGCGCGCATCTGTGATTACCGCCGTGGAATCCGCAGGTATTCGCTGATGTGTGTCAGCTTCCGGAAAATGTATTCATTTGCTCACAGCCTCGCAACGTGGATGTCACATGGTTCGGCTTTCCTGCCCTAGATAGCCCTTATATTATTTATTCAGATAATTGCATACTTGAGCTTCACATTCGGTAATGTGTACACAATTCATGAGCAATGTGAAACTACTTAGTCTCTCAACACACCACACAATTTCGCCACCAGTGGGGGCACGTTGCGTCCACATATCGCATGATGCAACGTGGAGCATCCATAATTTGGTGTAATATCCTTAATATTTTTGGTCAATTACTAAAATTTCGCTACTTAGCTCATCCAATCATAGAAAACAGTGCTGCGACTCCATGCACGGCGGTTTAGCATCAACGCCGTTGTCTGCCTCTTTGACTAAAGGGATTATTGGAGCTTACGTAAATCCGCGATCCGCATGAATCATTTTAGAGATGGTTGCCGCTCTTCATGGACTTTGCATTGGTGAAACGTACAGAAAACAAGCCTTTGCGA